GCTCAGGTTAAAGGTCACTGAATCTGCTGTTAATATCCACACAGAGCTGGCGTGTCAGAGGCGACCCAGGGCGGCAGAATAGAGAGGGCGGTGTCCGCAACAATACCCCCACCGCCCTGGTCCTCGCTGTTGTACGCGCAATCACACCCCCTTCTCTCGTTTTTGCTTTCGATTATGAGGGCGCCATGATCATCTTTTGCCTAGAGCTCCAGTTCAGTTTGCTCCGGCCCAGTTTGCTCCAGCCCTGACAGCGACATATCATGCCTAAAACAAAGAATTAAATTATTAAAGCAACAATCAGGTGCGGATACATATATCAGATAAAACTATATGTACCGGCAGAAGGATGATTAGTATGAGGCCGCGGAATCGGGTGACATTTCAGCTGATCAGCACATCTCTACCCCACACCATTACACCACCACCAGCCTGAACTGCTGATACAAGGCAAGTTGGATCCATGCTGTCATGTTGTTGATGCCAAATATTGTCTCCCCCTTTTTTTTCGGACCATTCTCTTTAAACCCTAGAGATGGTTGTGCGTAAAAATCCCAGTATAGCAGCAGTTTCTGAAATGCTCCGACCAGCCTGTCTGGCACCAACAACCATGCCACATTCAAAGTCACTTAAATCACCTTGCTTTCCCATTCTGATGCTCGGATTGAACTGCAGCAGATTGTCTTGACCATGTCTACATGCCTAAATGCATTTAGTTGCTGTCATGTCATTGGCTGATTAGAAATGTGCGTTCACAAGCAGGTGGACAGGTGTACCTAATAAAGTGGCCGGTAATTTTTCAGTTCTATACATGTTTTTTTTTCTTTTGCATTAAAAAAAAAACTATTTAGAATTATTATTATTATTATTTTTAATATATTTTAAAAATATACTTATTTTTTGTATTTATTTATTTTCCCCTGACAATTTCTGTAATGTTTTCGTTGTGTTGTTGTTTCAGGCTCATGTTCCCGGTGCTCTGTCGGGTCCACATCACACAGGAGGCCACGGTCCTCCGCCAGTGATGCTGCTTCATGCTGCCCCTCAGCAGGGTTCTGGCCCTCAACACGGCCCGCCACCACAGCAGGGGGCCCACCAGCACTTCACCTACCTAGGACCTCAGGGTGAGTCCTGCACCAAAGACCACCAACGGAGATGATGTCAAACTGTTTCTAACCTTAAAGTTCTGATTTCGTTTGGCTCTGCTACATCAAAGCATACTAAACTGATTTTATATTTTACCCAGTGTTATCCAAAAATGGTTAAATATGTGTCTTTTGCTCCTCAGACCTCCCTAAAACACCAGCTTCTTTGCTACTATGTTTATTTAAAATAGCTTTTATTCTACATGTACATACTTTATAGAGGTGTAACAGATCACAAATCTCACGGTTTGCACCACACTATGGTTTTTTTAGTCACGGATGGGACCGTTTTTTATTTTTTTTTGCAACACACTTTTGGTTTAACAAACAGAACATAGAACCTGTATTTTTAATAAGAATAAAGTAAAGAAATGATCAGCAAAATAAAAATAAATGAAAAAAATCAGTCACTCTAATGTGGCTGATAACACTAAATGTTGAAATCTAACATTATAATCTGGACAAGCCATATTTACTTTAAGTCTCATTTTCACTAATAAAACTCATTGCTAGATGTGTAATTTTTAAAGAACTATTCAGTGGCATATTTTTAATGGCTGGTTGTCGCCACCTATTGGTTGAATAGTGTTAACTGCTCCCTACAACTTTCATTTTTGAGCTTCAAGTTAAACGCATATGACTTTTTTTTTTGTTTTGTTTTTTGCGGTTTTAAAAAAAAATCACAGATTTTGTGGTGGTAATTGCCAGAAATGTGCAGACAATTTTGCAAAACATTTCTCCTCACTCTCATGGAATGTAATGATTGCGAGGGTGCGTGTGAGATGTCTTTTTTCAAGAGACACTCAAATACATGAGGTGCATTGCATATGCAACGTCTAGAAGTCATGTAAAACACTAAATTGCAAACTTAAATAAAATTTGATTAAATGGTTTGGAATTGGATGTTTTATGAGATAATTTTTCAGTTTTCTTTTGCATTTAAATGAAGAATTTTGCAGGATTGCAAAAATGTGCAACTTTTTGTTGATCTTGCGTTGGATTCAGCGATCGCGGAATCGCAAAAAAATAGGAGGTCTGATATGATGACGATTTTAGTCTTTATCATACGCATCAGTGGTTATATCTGAACTATAAACTGTTCTCCCAGTACTTCTGTGTTATTTGACTGTTTGTAAACTAAAGACTGAATCTCTTTCTTGATTGTTGCATTTTTCGAACACGGATTTCAAAGCAGTGATTCAAAGGAATAATAAACATATGCAAAGCACCGTCATTTATAATTTATGTTGCGTGGGTGTTGAGATCTCGATCTTTTAATGATTAATCGTGCCGCTTACACTGAATGCATTAATGCAGGCTAAACAAGTAGTGACAGAAAACGCCTTTAATAACCTAAGAAACGCATCACATTCCAAATAATCTACCACAACTTCTTCCGTTGTCATTATATATTTACAGGAAAGCCTAAATGCTTTCATACAAGTGATTTGAATGATGTGAGAGGTGATGTCTCTGTGATTGTTACAGATTTAGAATTAATCTACCAGTAAATAAATGTATTAATCCGCGGGTTGTGTGTTTCGAACCATGGGTTGTGATCCATACGAATCAGGGATCAACTGTGATCTGTTACACCCCTACTACTTTATAACACCTCTTAGATTTAGATGTGCTAGCTAAAAGATATGTGAACTGATCTGGTCATGTGACGTTTGATGCAGTTTAATCAAAACAATCTTTTTTTTTTTTTTTTTCATTTAAAAGTTGAATTTTTCCAAAGCCAACAACAACAACTCTTTTAGAGCTTCCAGAAGTAAGAAAAAAAGACAGTCACAATTAACATACAAATATATATACTGTAGTCAACATTTGAAGTGGATCAAAAAAAGTTTTCAAAATTGTCCAAAGTCAAGAGGGGAATGTTGTTCAATCCTTTTCGGCAGGCTCGGCTTTACAGGGTGGCCAGGGTTTTGGCCCACACCAACAAGAATTAAAATATTTACCATTTTTATGGTTATGAAAAGTTAGCATAAAATCTGAATGTGTTCTTTGGAAACGTGCTTGAATGAAGATTGCAAATAAGCCTGGCTTACTAAAAGTCTTTATAATTTAAGCATCATTAGACAAAAGAGAACTTAATTCTGTGTAGCGCACTGATTTCTGTGCTCAACTTCCAAAGCACTTGTCAAAATGCTGCACAAACACACACAATATTTACTTGGTAGTTTACTTTTCTATCAAAATGATGGAGAGCATTTGAAATAATAAGTCAACATTTTACTAATGAAAAGATCATTTTGATTTATTTTAACATCAAATTAATATTTATTCATTTAATTTTTTTTTTTTTGTATTTAGTTAATTTTTATTTTATTTCATTTAAATATTTTTTTTATTTTTATTGATCTTTCATTTTTATTTGATTTATTTTTCTGAATTATGTATTTTTATTGAATTAATTTTTATTTATTTCATTTATATATTTGTATGATTTTAGTTTTTATTTGTTATTGATTTTATTTATTTAAATATTTTTATTTGCATTTATTGAATTTTGTTTTTCATTTTTAATGTTTTTTTTACTTTACTGATTTTTATTTATTTATCATTTTTATTTGTACTTTTTATTTCATTTATATATTTGTTTTTATTTATTTATATGTATTTATATCGTTTATTTTCTAGATTTTTTTTATTTATTTGTTTATTTATTTTATGCATTTGTTTGATTTATTTATTTTATTAAATTTTGTATTTGTTGAATTATATTTTTCTTTTATATTTGTTTTTATTGATTTTATTACACTATTATTACATTTATTTTTTATTGTTTTATTATTTATTTATTTTTATCTATTGAATTATTTATATTATTTCAGTTATATTTGTTCTTTTTATTTTATATTTTTTTCATTTTTATATTTTTATATTATTTTATTTTTTACTTGTATTTATTGAATTATTTATTTATATTTATTTAATATATATATTTGTTATTCATTTATTTTGATTTATTGAATTGATTTGTATTGATATTTTTATTTTTATTTATTACATGTTCAGAAATATTGGACAAGCCTGAATCTGTACTGGATTTGTTCTGTTTGTTAGTGCACTGACCACACATTTCTTTTAAAAATAAAAAATAAAAAAATCATGTATTCTGGTCCACCTGGAATGTTACCTTCAAAAGCAGGAGTCGGGCCTGGCTTTAGGACAACTTTGAAAGATTTTTGATCCTCTTTAAATGTTGACTACTGTATACAGGAATGTGCCACAGCATTTATGGTATATTGTGTTTTACCTTCTGACTTTGATCATTTGTGTTTTTGTTCTGTGCTCAGTGCCAGTGCAGGCTCACAATCCCCAGCAGATTCCATATCACCCTTCTGGAAACTGACAGACAGACTGAGAGGGAGAGAAAGAGAGAGCGCCCCCATCTGGACCTTCTGTGTGACCGCATATGTACATAATCTCCATCTGCTTCACCAACGAGGACAAAAAGATTTCGCTTTTACCTCTGGCAAGACTGAATGTTCTGGTTTTATTTAGGGTTTTTTTTTTTCTTCGTAATTTTTAATTTGAGTGGACGGAGACACGCAGTGTCTAAAAGCAGAACGACGAAACGAGTGAGTGTGCAAGACAAAACAAAAATGGAAAGAATGAGGGACATTTTTATAAAAAATACAGTGACCTCTCCCTTTGTCCTCAAACCCCCCTTATTAAATAAGCAAATAATAAATGGTTAAAAAAAGAACAAAAAAAATAAAAAAAATGTATAAAAAATAAATTTTTAAACTCTCCTCGTGTGTTACGTCATGATTTTTCATTTGCACTTCAGCTTTATCAAATAATAATGACAGTTTTTATTCATATTAAAGTCTCAAACACACTGTGTGGATTTATTAAAACGTTTATTTCCTCATTTATACACCAATAACAAACAATTCATTACATTTCAGACATAAAAAGCTGTATTTTACATGGCGGAGTCAAACATTTCTTGTGTGCTCTTATTATTGGAAGTGAAAACTGGATGCGGTACACTGTAAACTGCAAATCTTAAAAACAACGACTATAAAACATTCTCAGGTATCGTCAGAAGGATTTAGGAAGTGAAATATGGAGTTTCCTGTGAAGTGACAGTGCTTTTTTTTCACTTTATATATCCCAAGCGTGGAAACTCTTGTCAGTCAGGCGGATCTTCAGGACTCTGACACTTTTAGCCGCTTGATGAAAAGCAAACCCTGGGCAAAAGATAACACAAATATATAAGGGTAAACTAAATTTAAAACGGCATAGGCCTGCATTTGAAATGATCAGTCAATATTTTATTTTAAAGAAAAATGATCATTTTGATTTATTTTAACATATTAAGTTAAAATTTATTTATATATTCAATTTATTTCATTTATATATATTTGTTTTTGATTTATTTTATAGATTGAATAGGTTTTTGTTTATTTTTTTATTTATTGAAATTATTATTAATTTATTTGTAGTTAATACATTTATATTTTTCCTTGTTTTATTTATTAATTTATTTTCATGTCTATTTTTATTTAATTTATATATTTTTATTTTGTTTATATTGGTTTCATTTATTGTATTAATTTATTTATTCAATTTATTTATATTGAATTATTTATTTACTTTATTTATATTGTTTTATTGATTTATTTTCATTTGTATTTATTTTTATTTACTTCATTTATATATTTTTGGTTTATATTAGCTTAATTTGTTTTATTACTTTATTTTTACTTATTGATTTTTTTTTTTCGTTGTTTATTTAATTATATTTACTATTTTATTTTGTTATTTATTTTCATGTGTATTTTTATTTATTTAATTTATATATTTTTTATTTGTTTATATTGGTTTTATTTTATTTTTTATTTGTATTTATTGAAATACTTATCTGTATTTACTTCATTTATATTTCATTTTATTGTTATTTATTTGTTGATTTTTTTTTTCATGTCTCTTAATTTTTATTTATTTAATTTACGTTTAATTTGTTTGATTTAATTCATTTATGTTATTAATTTAGTTTTATTTATTGAATTATTTTTGTTTACTTTACATTTTGTTATTTATTGATTTATTCTCATATGTATTTTTTTATTTACTTCATTTATATTTTTTGTTTATATTGACTTGATTTAATTTTACTTCTTTTTTATTATATTTTTTTTATTGAAGTTGTTTATTACACTTTATTTACTATTTATTTTGTTATTTATTAATTTATTTTCATGTGTATTTTTATTGTTTTAATGTATATCTTTTTTTATTTAATTGTTTATTTGTCTTTACTTCATTTATATTTCATTTTATTGTTATTTATTGATTGATTTATTTTCATGTCTATTAAATATAATTAATTTAATTTATATATTTTGTATTTGTTTATATTGATTCAATTTATTTATTTTTATTTATTTACTTCACATTTTGTTTTATTTGTTGATTTATTTCCATGTGTATTTATTTTTATTTCATTTATGTATTTTTTTTTTTGTTTGTATTGATTTAATTTATTTAGATTTATTTTACTGATACATTTGTCAAAATTCAAAACGACATAGCCCTGTGTGAAAAGTGTTTACTCTCTAAACATAACTGGCTTGCGCCACCTTTAGCAGCAGCAACTGCAATCAAGCAGTTTCCGATAACTTGCAATGATTCTGCTAAAGTGCGGTGGAGGAATTATGGCCCACTCATTTTTGTAGAATTGAGGTAATTCAGCCACGTTAAAGGGTTTTTGAGCATAAACCTTTTTAAGGTCATGCCATCTCAATTGGATTCATGTCAGGACTTTGACTAGGCCAATCTAAAGTCTTCATTTTGTTTTTCTTCAGCCATTCAAAAATAAATTTGCTGGTGTGCTTTAGATCATGGTCCTGCTGCAGAACCCAAGTTTGCCTCAGCTTAAGGTCGCCAACAGCTAGCCGATTATTCTCATGTTTAAAACGGATGGTTCTAATCCGTAACACTGATTGGCTGAGCTGCGTTCTAAGCTGTTATAATATATACTGTAAAGTAGTTAACATCTAAAGTGGTTCAAAACATTTTATCAACGTTGTCCTAAAACTATTCAAAAACACCCCTTTTTATCTTAGGACAATTTAAAAAAAAAAAATTTTGATCCACTTCAGATGCTGACTACTGTATATTCGACAAACATACACCTATGACTCTTGCTTGGCAACCATACTGCTATCAGTACGGAGCAGAAAAACACACAGTTACAAATAATTTTTTAAAAATTAATTAAACTATTATTTTCCACTGCACCATGACTTTATATTCTATACTTATTTCTGCTAAGTGACAAGACTTTAAGCAGCAAAAGTCATTTTTGAGTGTATTTGCTTTGTTTTATTTTGTAAAATCTTTCGCTATGAAAATAATCACTTCAGTAAAGCAATAAACCCCAAGAAGCTGTGCTTTACAGTGAGTTTTTATTAGCTGAGTATGTTTTCTGCACGTTCCTAACAATGCTTTTAGCTATAATAATCTCACTGTTAACCATGGTCACTTGGGGCTCATTGCTTTAATATATTATGCTACATTCATATGCAGTAACGGTTTGGTTTTCACATGTTGACCAGACAAAGCATATAAACCTATTTAATAAAGAAATCAAATCTAACCAGTTGGAACTGGAATTCAGTCATCAGGCTCCGTCCCACCGAGACAGACATTTCCAGTGTTGACATATTCAGCGCTGCCTCCTCCATCACTGCTTAGACTTTCACGGGACAGTCCTGTGCATAACATAAAAAATATCTTTGATTACAGAGCGTTACTGCAGGGTTAATGAAAACTTTTAAATAATTTGAGGAGAACGCAATACATCAAATGTTTTCTGAATGTAATAAGTGAAATTTATTTAGAAACTTCTGATTGTTCACAGCTGTTCCCGCATCAGCTCATAATTGATTCTTCCATCAGACGACCAGAGTTTTCTTATTTCAATGTCTTCATCTTGAAGAATCCCCTCCCTACCCACACCCACTCCAGCCTGATCTCATGAGAAAATGTAAGTATTTTACGTTTTGTAAGTTTAGTGGCTAATTCGAGTTCTGTCTTACGAAAATGTACGAGTTTAAAAAGGAGGCATGGCACCTACCCCCAACCGTCATTGGGTGATGAGCAAATCATACTAAATTGTAAGAATTAGATCATACGAATTCATACAATTTAGCCACTAAATCCAAAAGTTGCGAACTCCCCCTTCCTTCCAGATGGGCGACACAGTGGCACAGTAATTAGCTCTGTTGCCTCACAGCAAGAATGTCTCTAGTTAAAGTCCCTACTAAATCAGTTGACATTTCTGTGCGGCGTTTGCTCGTTTTCCCCATGCTCGCGTAGGTTTTCCTCGGATTTTCCGTTTTCCTCACAGTCCAAAAAACATGTAACGTAAGTAAATTGAACATTGCCAATTGATACCATGACCAAGCTCTTAGCGAGTACACCTCTCCTCAGTCCTACATATACATCATTTAGCCAGAAATAAGCTGGGGGGAGTTCATCGAGATCTACCTGAGCTCAAACTCCCCTCTCGCTCCGCAAACGGGAGGGAGCCTAGGGCTCGAGGATCTCATAAGCTCCGAAATATAGGGGTTTCTCCCGGGACTGCATGCAAAACAAGCTTTATTATTAATCATTAGCTAAGAGTGAACTCTTAAGATTCAGATGAGAATAACATTTGTGATCTTTTCTGATTAAATGATGATAAAAATCTGCTCACAGGCTCAGATAAACAACTTAAAAGTAAAGTTCCTACCACGATGACAGCTATTTGGTCTTATTTTAAGCATAGACATTTAATTCTGTTGAATTTGTCAGAAAACATTACATAATTTACTCATTTTCTGCACTAAAAATAATGTGGTCCACACAATTCCTTCATGGTGTCCCTACATAAAACAATTTTGTCCAAAAACAATCTCAAGAATCATGTTGTTTCAACTCATTTTAAATGAGTAGTCTGAACAAGTAGCGCTGTTTGTTTTTTGTTTTGTTTTTAGTGTAGCTTTATTCATTTTTTAAATTTTTTTTATTGACTGATTATTTATATGAAGGGTTCATAAATATCCTTATAATTAAAAAATTACTGACCATATCCTAAAATGCAACAGCACTTCTGGTGTGCGTTATTTTCTAATAATTCAGCAGCCAGCTGTCATTTATTACTAAATAAATTTGACTTGAATTTTAAGGTGAAATCACCATCCTCATCATCATTTTCGTTGCTAACAAGTTGTTAAAAAAGCTAAAAAAAAGTCCCGATACTATTAATATACATACACGATAAATATATATATAAATATATATATATTTACCACAGTGCTCTGGAGGCTTTGGAAAGTTTTCATAGTCTTGACCTTCTGAATAAAACAACACAATAGTCATAGGATTAATTTATATATTACACACACACACATATATATATATATATATATATATATATATATATATATATATATATATATATATACACACACACACACTGTAAAAAGTGAAAACTTAAACTACTTAGACTTTTTACAAATAAATGAATTAAGTTAGACAAACTTAATTTCTGACAGTTTTCAGTAATAAATTATTTTAGTTATTTTAGGTGTAACAAGTTTTTTACAGTTCAAATAATTTCCTTCCCATGTTAATATTATAATAAAAATCATATTCACTTTATGTTTGGTGGCAAGTACAAGTATTGCTTACTAGTAATAGCGAACAGTACTTATACTTGCCAAAACCAAATAACAAAAACTTGTTTCACCTAAAATAACTCAATTTATGACTGAAATCTGTTATAAATTAAGTTTGTCAAGTAATTAGTTTAATATTTCACTTTTTACTGTGTATATATGTTATTGGCACAGTCGTTCTTTATTTTGAGCAACTGGTACCTGATTCTATGTCGGAGTTGACGTCGCAGCCAAATGTGTCCACAGATACATTCCCGTCTTTTGTAATTATGTTGATATAATTGTCTCCTCCTAAATGAACACAGCTCCATTAGAGAAATTCATCAATTCAACTGTTCATATATGTAGTGAAGACAAAATGATTAGCCCTTCTGTAAAACTGTGCAGTTTAACAAAGTTGTTAACTCAATACTGTGTGGAGTTTGCATGTTCTCCCCGTGTTGGCATGGGTTTCATCCGGGTGCTCCTGTTTCCCCCATAGACCAAAGACATGTGCTATAGGTGAATTGGATCAACTAAATTGGCTGTTGTTTAGGAGCGTGTGCGTAAATGTGAGTGTGTATGGGTGTTTCCCAGTGCTGAGTTGCAGCTGGAAGGGCATCTGCTGTGTAAAACATATAATGGAATTGTTGGCGATTCATTCCACTGTGGGGATCCCCGATCTTTGTTGGAAACCTGTAACTATTGACTTCCATAGTGTTTGTTTTTTCTACTATGAAAGTCAATAAATACAGGTTTCCAACATTCTTTAAAATATCTTCTTTAGTGTTCAACGGAATAAAGAAACTCATAAATGTTGTGCATAATAGAGTTAAAGTTGAATTAAATGTTGGTTTGAACAGATAATTTAGAAAATACTGCGATTAAACCAGAAACAAATGTGGATTTTTGCTTGGAGAGAAAAGATAATGGAATTAAATGTAGCATATGATCAGGCTAAATTTAGCATTATTGAAAACAGTCAGAAAACACATGCAATTGAAACCAGAAGTTTACATACACTATAAAAAAGGAACATAACCATTTTTTAAAAATGTCTGATGGTAAATCATACTAAACGTTTACTACTTTAGGTCCGTTAGGATTACCTAAATGATTCACATTTGCTAAATGCCAGAATAATGAGAGAATATTTTTTTTACATTTTTAATTTCTAGACAGTCGAAAGGTCACACACACGTCCTTGGTATTTTTTTAGCTTTGCTTTTAAACTGTATAACTTTGGTCAATTTTTTTGGGTATCCTTCCACAAGCTTCTCACAATAGTTTGCAGGAATTTTGGCCCATTCCTCCAGACAGAATTGGTGTAACCGAGTCAGGTTTGTTGGCTGTCTTGCTCAAACAAGCTTTTTCAACTCTGCCCACAAATTTTCTATAGGATTGAGATCAGGGCTTTGTCATGGCCACTCTAAAACATTCACTCTGTTGTCCTTAAAGCACATTTTAACTTGTTTGGCAGGATGCTTAGGGTCATGGTTTGTTTGGAAGACCCATTTGTGGTCATGTTTTAGTTTCCTGGCTAATGACTTGAGATGTTGCTTTAGTATTTCTACATCATGTTATTTCTTTATGATGCGTTCTATGCTGTGAAGTGGACCAGTCCCTCCTGCAGCAAAACAGCCCCACATGATGCTGCCGCCCCCATGCTTCACAGTTGGGATGGTGTTCTTAGGTGAGTAAGATTTCCCATTTGTCCTCCAAATGTAACACTGGTCATTATGGCCAAACAGTTCAATCTTAGTTCCATCAGACCACAGGACATGTCTCCAAAAATGATTATTTTCCCCAGTGTAATTTAGCAAATTTTAGTTGATTCTGGCTTGTTGATTTCCACATGTTGTAACACAAGGAAGTCGTGTGTTTGAGGTTTTCCTTTAATACTATTCTATAGTTGTGCCTCCAATTAACTCAAATGTTGTCAATTAGCCAATCAGAAACTTCCAAAACCCTGACACCATTATCTCAGCTTTTTCAGAGGCACAATATTCTTATTGTATGTAAACTTGACTTTCAAGAAAAGTTATAACAATTTCTCAAAAATCTCTCTCTCATTATTCTGCTATTAAGCATGACAGAAACACATTTGATAATCCTAACTTACCTAAAAAAGAAAATGTTCAGTCAAATTAACATCTGAATTTTTAAAAAATTGTTATGTGCCTTTTTATACAGTGCATGTAAACTTCTGGTTTCAACTGTATGAAGGTTGCAGTGTGTAAGAGCTGCTGAAGTGGAGAGTTAGGAGAAAATGGCCTTTAAAGATATCTGATGGTGCAAAAGAACCCATTGAATGTTGTCTTTGCATTAAACTGAATGCACACGTTAGGAAAAGCCATTCTATATGGCTGCATTATCTCATCTTCAGATGATCTTTTGTACCTGAGCTCTGGGATGAAGCTCGACTGCGTTCCTGCAACTGTGCGGTGGGAGAATCTGGAAGAACAACTCTGGAGGAAAGAATGATTTGCTCCATTAATTGTCTATGGATAACGATTTAGTTTTTGCATTGAAAAAAAATACAGGGTTGCAACACAATTAACACATGTATTTCAGTGTTGGGTTATGTCTGGAAGGACATCCGCTGTGCAAAACACATGCTGGAATAGTTAGCAGTTCATTCCGCTGTGATAAATAAGGGACTAAGCCAAAGGAAAATGAATGAAGGAATGAAGGTGTGATCTTACATGTAGTCACTTGGAGGATGTATATTCAGCTCATTTTCGTTTTCTAGAGAAGAGGGATCTGTTCAGAATCAAACATGTTTGTTCACTCAAAAAAGACCTTCAGTTTAAGCCGAGTTCAGTGAAGTATTTGTAAGCCACTTGTTTGGTTTCTCTTACCGCTTTGATTCACATAACTGGCTTGACTTTCAGCTGCAGAGGAAAAAAAGAGAGAGAGATGTTTGCTTTAATAACACTTTATTAGCACATTTTAGACAAAGTGTGGCTCATGCTTACATAAAACAAAATATTTTAAAAATAAAAATATGTGTCGTGACTAGCATTTTACGCAGTTTTGTTATTTTTTATTCTGTAAAAGTGCTTAGAGCGTATTACAGAAGTATTATAAAAATTATAATTCCAATTTAAAATTATGAATTTTACATAAAACATGTTTTTATTCTGTAAAAGTGCTTAGAGTATGACAAATGTGCAGCGTATTAAAGAAGTATTATAAAAATTATAATTCCAATTTAAAATTATGAATTTTACATAAAACATGTTTGAAAAAAAAAAAGCTTAATAAAGTCAAAAGTATAAAAGATGTATTTATTATCGAAACATTTTTGCTTGGTATGGATTGTATTAATGCAGCAGTAAATTACACTAGATTTTATAGTAAACTATTATTGTCTCAAAGACAAATATGACTCTGAAAGGGTTATTATAGTAGACCTACACTAAATCAAATAAAAAGAGCTTTGTTACTTGAAGTTTTTAATTAAGAAAATAATTAGTAATCTTGATGTGTGATTTTGTCAGTTTTATTTGTTTTTTAAAGTGATTATTTTGTTCAGTTTTTAAGACAAATGTGACTATACACTCACTGGCCACTATATTAGGTACACCTAACTAGTTCCAGGTTGGACCCCCTTTTGCCTTCAGAACTGCCTTAATCCTAATTCAACAAGGTACTAGAATTATTCCTCAGATATTCTGGTCCACACTGAAATGATGGCATCACGCAGTTGCTACAGATTTGTCGGCTGCACATGATGCGAATCTCCCGTTTTACTACATCCCAAAGGTGCTCTATTGGATTAAGATCTGGTGACTGTGGAGGCCATTTCAGTACAGTGAACTCATTGTCATGTTCAAGAAACCAGTCTGAGATGGATTGAGCTTTATGACATGGAGCGTTATCCTGCTGGAAGTAGCCATCAGAAGATGGATACACTGTGGTCCTAAAGTAATGGACATGGGCAGGAACAATACTCGGGTAGGTTTTGGCGTTGACACAATCCTCAGTTGGTCCTAATGGACCTAAAGTGTGCCAAAAAAATATCCCCCTCACCATTACACCACCACCAGCCTGAACTGTTGATACAAGGCAGGATGGATCCATACTTTCATGTTGTTGTCGCCAAATTCTGACCCTACCATCCGAATGTTGCAGCAGAAATTAAGCCTCATCAGACCATCATATATCAGATACATCAGACCAGGCTACATTTTTCCAATTTTCTATTGTCCTATTTTGGTGAGTCTGTGCAAATCGTAGCCTTGGTTTCCTGTTCTTAGCTGACAGGAGTGGAACCAAGTGTGGTCTTCTGCTGCTGTAGCCCATCCGCTTGGACGTGTTGTGTGTTCAGAGATGCTCTTCTGCATACCTCGGTTGTAGCAAGTGGTTATTACTGTTGCCTTTTTATCAGCTGGAACCAGTCTGGCCATTCTCCTCTGACCTCTGGCATCAACAAGGCATTTGCACCCACAGATCTACCGCTCACTGGATATTTTCTCTTTTTCAGACCATTCTCTGTAAACACTAGACATGGTTGTGCATAAAATCCCAGTAAATCAGCAGTTTCTGAAATACTTAGACCAGCCCGTCTGGCACTAACAACCATGCCACATTCAAAGTCACTTAAATCACCATTTTTACTTCCCTAAATGCATTGAGTTGCAGCCATGTGATTGGCTGATCAGAAATTTGCGTTACGCAGTTGGACAGATGTACCTAATAAAGTGGCCGGTTTAAATGCTATATACTATATAGTCTAAATGAAAAGAGAAAAATACATATTTTTCTATTATATATATATATATATATATAAAATTGGAAAAGAAATATGTCACAAAAAAATAAAAGCGACAAAACCCCACATTAAGCTTACTAAATATTTTATTAAAGTTAATGTGAAAACAGAAAAGCTCCAAAATAAAATAGAAGGAATATACATTTTTCTCCTGTATTTACACTTATTTTACTATTATTTTTCAGATTTGTCTCGATTCAAACATTTTTGTTTTTACTTTCATAAAAAACTAAAGAAACTAAACAAAAACAACTAGAAATAATTTCAAAAAGTGAAACATATAGTTACATTTAAAAAAAGAAAACGACAAAGAAAATTAGAGGGAAAAATAATAAAGGTGAAAAAACCACACCTTGAGATTACTAAATATTTGATTAAAGTTCATGTGAAAACAGAAAAGCTTAAAGCAAAATACAAAAGAAAAATATTATGTTTCTTTTTCTATTAATTTTTTTCAGATTCTGTTTTAATTTAAACTATTTGGTTTGTGTTTTCATTAAAATTACTAAAATCACTAAATGAAAATGACTAGAAATATACATGAAAACTAAAGAAAAGCTAAGAAAAGCTAAATCCAAAAAAAAAAGAAAATATTAACTCAAGAAAATCTAACCGTGATTGAAAACGTTTACTTAACAACATCAATGACACTCAAATAAAAACGACTGTAAATGACTCACTTTCTGAAGGAGGACAGGAGGGAACTTTTGTGATGGTAATAGATGGAGAGCTCAGCGAACTGAGGAAAGAGAGATCATTATTACTAAAAAAAGTGAATGAAGGAATGAAGCACAGCCTAAAATCAGGGCTCAGACTCACGGGTGTATTGGGTAAGGTATGCCGGTGATTCTGTGATCTGGATGGGGCGCATCTGAAAAATAAAGAAGACAGGAATGATTCATGCACATTTGGATTTGAACACTGTATAGTCTACATTAACTAAAGAGTTGTGTTGTAAATTAGAAGAGAGGGCAGTTTATTTACATGTCGAATGGGGATGCCGTAACCCAAATCTGTAAGAAAACAGACAAAAAGCTGAGATATACAACTTCAAAACACAACATATATACACTAGTCAGCATTTGAAGTGGTCAAACAAGTTGTGCTAACACACGAATGGGGGTTGTTCAATAGTTTTAGGCCAACTTTGATGAAATGTTTTGATAGCTACTTCAAATGTTGACTACTGTATATGTATATATTTAGAGAAATTATGATTGAAGTATTATTGGTTTCTGAAGTAATATTTCTTACGCTGAGGATTGTGAGTTGTATTCTGAACTGTAGTCACTGGGCCTCTGTGGGATAGATGCTGTAAAATAAATAAATAAATATAATATAATATAATATAATATAATATATTATAATATAATATAATATAATATAATATAATATAATATAATATAATATAATATAATATAATATAATATAATATATGTGACAATAGTTACATATTTATATGCTCTGGTGAGTAAAATAAAAATTTATAGTTATATTCATACTTCCCTATGGATTAAATATTGATTGAAAAATCATAAACATTCTTTTTGTATTCTTTAATACCTGAATATGCAAATAATCTGTACGAAATTTCAGCTCATTTGAATACATTTCTAGCACAAAAAGTTTTTGGTTTTGACACATTATGCCATAGAGAAATCTGATATATGGGAATTCATGCAAATTACATATATGACAAGTTCACATTTGGATTTAACATATATAATAGACACTCACTGGCCACTTTATTAGGTACACCTGCCCAACTGCTCATTAACGCAAATTTCTAATCAGCCAATCACATGGCAGCAACTCAATGCATTTAATCATGTAGACATGGTCAACACAATCTGCCGCGGTTCAAACTGCAATGAGTTCCCTGTACTCAAACGGCCTTCACAGTCACCAGAACTCAACCCAATATAGCTCCTTTGGGATGTGGTGGAACAAGAGATTCGCATAATGGATGTGCAGCCGACAATTCTGCAGCAGCTGTGTGATGCTATCATGTCAATATGGAGCAAAATCTTTGAGGGATATTTCCAGTACCTTGTTGAATCTATTCCACGAAGGATTAAGCCAGTTCTGAAGACAAAGGGCGGTCCAACCCAGTACTGGTAAGCTGTACCTAATAAAGTGGCCGGTGATTATATATGTCATATATGCAACATCTATTTAAAAAATGGCTGATGGAATCACAAATATGTACCTATATGTTCAAATATATTACATACAATTACACATATATGTTCAAATACGGCCATAGCTATAATTATATAGCTATAATTTGAACTATTGCTATAATTGTATAATAAATTATATAGCTATAATTTGAATTTATATACATTGACGATTGGGGGCCAAGTTTTTCGGTTATGCTCGGTAAGATGCCTCAGTGAACCAAATTTATATATTTAATTCAATTACATCTAATTTTTTTGAGGGATATTAAGAAGTTCTTACGTATTTGTGATATTAAGTAAACGGTGACAGGTTTGCTTTCCTGCACCTACTAATAAATGACCATGAAAGACTGCACGTATAATTTTATTTTATGGTTTCATTTTCACCATACTGTTAATAATAAAATACAAACTATGCATCTAGTTTTACAGACATCTACAAACAACTTTTTTTTTAAGAAACAGGTTTTGTGAACACTTACACTGTCTGTTGGTGCTCTAGATTTGCTGGTTTCAAACTTTTCTGGCGCAAACATGCATTCACCATGGTACGAACCATTGAACGGTGGTCAAATGTATATTGAAGTTATCTATTATTTTAATGATTAATATTATTAAAGATACAAATCATAGCAAACTATTTCGTCACAATTAAAGGGCAGACCCCTCATACATCTTATCCCAAAACCCCCCTGTAATTCGCACCCTGCCTACATCTTTGTAATGCCAACGGTTTAAAAAAATGTTGACATATATGGCATTTTATTCATGTAAAACCCAAATATGACCTGGTATGTCTCCTATGTAATTTCTGAAATCTACCTGAGATCAAACTGCCCTCTCGCCCTGCAACGGGAGGGAGCCCAGGGCTCCAGGATCTCATAAGCTCAGGGCTTTCTCCCGGGAAAGCTTGCCAAACAAGCTTTATTATCAATCATCAGCTAAGTGTGAACTGTTGAAATCAGATATCTATAGAATGAAAGGTTTTAACTGAAGGGATTTTGGAAATCTCTTTTTTTAATCACTTTTTTAAAGAATAAAATAATAAGACGTCTTACATATTAGAAAGCATCCTTCTGTAAATCCTTCAGAATACATGTGTGAATAAAACTGAAGTGTGGTGTAGCCTTGGGTTATTATGACTGCAGAGTGTTTACATGCACTTCAATGAGTTTATAGGAAGTTCTGCTGACAGACGTAGAAAATGAAATTCTTGCTCGGCTTCAAACACACATACAGTTGAAGTCAGAATTATTAGCCCCCCTTTGAATTTTTTATTATGTAATAAATGTTTCCTAAATTATGTTTAACAGAGCAAGAACATTTTCACAGTATGTCTGATGATTGTTCATCAGGAGAAAGTCTTGTTTGTTTTATTTTGGCTAGAATAAAAGCAGTTTAAAATTTTTTTGAAAACCATTTTGACTCAAAATTATTAGCTCCTTTAAGCTAAAATGTTTTTCGACTGTCTTTAGAACAAACCATCACAATAACTTGCCTAATTACCCTAACCTGCCTAACTTAATTAACCTAGTTAAGCCTTTAAATGTCACTTTAAGCTGTTTAGAAGTGTCTTGAAAAATATCTAGTCAAATATAATTTACGTCTCAAGTTAGTCTGACGAAAAAACTGATGTTGGCGAAGATTAGGCTACACGCATTATCTATAAATTACTGGTCGCACATTCAGTTCTTAAAATGCTAAATTATGGATTGAGAAATGTTTATTTAGTCAAAAAGAGCTGACTGTAGCCTGGCTTCGTTTAAAATGCTGTATATTGATTATAAACAAAGTCTATATGCAAGACATGTCACTCGTATCGTTTTGAATGGGGAAAAGTGTAACGGTCAATTTGGCGAATAAAGCCCGCCTTCGAGTACAGAAGCCAATCATCGATCGCTATATGGGGAACAAAGCCCGCCTTCTAGTACAAGAGCCAATCATTGATCGTTATTCACCTTATTCCGCCCCGCCCACTTTTTATTCTTCGCTCTTCCGCATTTTGTCATCCAACTTCCGGTACGCTGACACAGTTCATCAGATTATTGTTTCAGATTTTAGAAAAATGGCATTTAATGTTAGTTCAGGGAATGTTTTGAGCTGGGAGTACGGTGAAACCTCACTACAACGATCGGATGGTCTCATATTGCCCCATCCATCTTCACCGTTAATGTGGGTAGACGATATGAAAAAGTGGCCAGAGGTAACTTACGGGGATATTTTCAATTACTTTGTCCTGTCACAAGGAGTAGATGGAGCGTCTATGAAGAATTATAAAAGTACCGAGGCCTACCAATATTTGCATAGTGGGAAAGTGGGTCGTGTGCTATTGCACAGCGAGGGTGACTTCGTCTTTTTAAAAGCAAATGTGCACCCCAGCCAGTCGAGCAGTCCATGCCACTCAGCGTGGGTGCTACTTAGTAAGCAGGGATCAGTGGAGACTACAGGATGTTCGTGCATCGCTGGTTTAGGTAGGTCCTGTAGCCACGCAGCCTCTATATTATGGAAGGTAAGTAAATAATACTCATTGTTATTATTTATTATGTATGGTAATGTCACGTTTGTGTTGACATAAGTAAGCAATTAATGTATAATAGTATGTTAACGTATTTGCGTCATAACATACAGCTGCTGACTTGGTTACCATCTGCAGACTAAGTATCTGGTCAAATCTCTTAATTTGTGAGTTATGAGGTAAGGTCTGTAAGGTAAGTGAATGTTTATAAATTATGTGTTGTATAATTGCACAGGAGGCTCGAACTTGGAAGTGAAAAAGTCCTATATTTAAGTGTGCAAAATTATTAAGGCAGATTTAAAAAAAAAAGCCCAGATTGCTAGATGTATGGGTATATATATATATATAAATAAAGAGAGATAGAAAGATAGATAGATAGATGTGCATGTATAAATACATACATTTGAAAGACATAAGATATAAAAATATAAGAAAATGTACTTGCATAGTAATTATGCACACTGTGAATATACTAAAGGTAAGATTTGGTACACATATATTAAGTGTAAAAAGTCTAATCATGCTATCACCTGAAAAAAAACAAGGTAGGTAAACATAAATTGTAATTTGTAATAAATTATATTGAAATAAGATAATAGAACATGTTGACATATCTTAATACAAAATAATACAAATTTGTCAGTAATTATGTTTGGTGTCAGGTTGAAAATGCTGTGTCCAGTGGGCTCACTGGCATTGCCTGCACAGATGAGCAGCGCCTCTGGAATATGGGGACCCAGAGGAACCTCTGCCTGAAGCGGTTAATGGACATAAAGTTTTCCCACCATCAAGCCACTGATGTGCTGCGGATGCCAGAGGGAATGCCCAAAAATGCCCCCCTTCCTCCCACTCCCTTATTTAGTACCCAGAAAGACCTCAGAGAGGGACTCAAGCATCTTCGGCTGCCTGCGTCAAGCCTTCTGCACAAATGTGTGAGTGCTGTGCAGGGAGAGGAATCAGAACAGCCTGCGTCCTCACCACATGCTAACCATGATGGCACCAAAAACTGTCAGAGGTGTATGTTGTTTTATGACAGCTTAGTGGCCATTGATCCTAGCAAGTGTGCAGCACTGGAGCGTGTAACACTTGAGCAGAGTTCTTCTCATTTGTGGCATGACTCTCGTAAGCTTAGAATTACTGCAAGCACAGCAAAGAAGGTACCCATCAGAGGTAACCCTCAGACATTTATTAGAGAGCACCTCTACCCCAGGTTCCATGGGAATGCAGCAACTAACCATGGCTTAGAAAGTGAAGCATCTGCAATACAGTGGCTAGAGAGTTCAGGATTTACTGTCAGTCACAGAGGGACAGTTGTGTGTGGAAGTGAGCCTTGGCTGTCAGCAAGCCCTGATGGAGTTTTGAACTTGCATGAACTGCTGGAGATCAAATCCCCTCTCCTTAAATGTGATGAGTCTTTGGAGGACCTCTTTAGAAGTCAGAGGTATGATGTGAGGATGGTGGATGGCATACCTCAGCTACAGCCAAATGGTCCACGGGGCTTCTATTTGCAAGTGCAGCTTGGCATGTTTTGTACAGGTTTGAGGTCCTGTAAGCTACTCGTCTGGGTTCCATCACAGCAGGTTCTACTACAAGTTCCATACAATGAGCAGTTCTGTAGCAAGACTGTAGCTAGACTAAAAACCTTTTATTTTAAGTATATGCTCCCTCAGGTGACAGATGAGTTTCAAGCAGGCCGTCTGTTGCTTTCCACAAGATACTTGCAGCTTTGCAAATAAGGATTGCATTTTAAATAAGCTGGGGTGTAGAAGGTGAAGACAATCATTTAAAATGAACCATTTTATATTAGTTGTTTTATATCAGTTTTGATAAGCAAGATTGTGATAATTTGTGTATTATTATCATAAAATGTGTTATGTAAACCATTGCGTAAAATCAGTTTAAATGTTTAAGTTGTAAGTTTGTTTTTTACCAGGATTATAGATACACATGATGACCTTCTTGTAAAGGTATGATTTAACCATTTAATTTTACTATGTAATAAAAAATATTTTGCAAACTTAATGTCTTATTTTTTAAAGTCAAACTTAAAGGGACAGTTTAAAAATTACAGTTCAAAATTAAAATTGTCAATTTACTCTGCCTTTATTTGTTTCAAACCTGTTACACTTACTTTGTTCTGTTGAACACAAATGAAGATACTTTAAAGAATGCAGGAAATCTGTAACCATGGAATTCAATAGTATTTGTTACAGCTAACATGTTAATATGTAACATCTCATCATTGTAAGTGTTTATTAAAATACCTGCTTAATTTTTTTATTTACACAACTGTTAAAGACAAAACAACAAAATTTAAGGACAAATACAATGCGCCTACTAATAAACATTTATTCATCCTCTACATCAGAAATTATGTCGCTACGTAAATTACACAGGGCTGCACAAATTCTCAAAATTTTGTCAATTTTAGGGGTAAGGTTGATTGGAACTGTTTGAGAGATGATTTTGAAGGTTTTCAATCTACAGATTACCCGCTCAACATGGACACGTACATTAGCAATGCGCCTAGTGTTGGTGGTGTCTTCCTCCGAAAGTTGCATGCCTTTCTTGGTGAATGCTGGAATAACCAGTTTTACTTTTTTTTCATAGAGGAGATCACTAATCGTGAAGCCTCTATCTGCCATTACTTCATCTCCTGGACGAAGGTATTCAAGGAAACCCGAGTTTGCAGTTATGAATTTATCACTGCACCTTCCTCCATATGCAGGTGAGATGAACATAATTAGTCCACATGGTGCAATGGAGACCAGGTATTTTATTGTGTTCTGCCCATAGTAGTGACTGTAGGACTCGCCTCTTGAGTCAAGGTTGTGTGGCTTTTGAAGTGGTGTCTCAGAACAGTCAATAATGCAGGTTGTATTTGGAAACTGTTCTCTGAAGCACTGAGGCATTGTTGCTTGGATCGTTTCCTTGGGAAGCCATGGTACGTAATCCCTCATGTTCTCCTCCATGATGTCAATCCAACATGAAATCACCTTGCTTACGATGGATTGAGAAACAGCAAACCTTTCAGCAAGATCGCCCTGCAGTAAATTAAGACGCAACTTCATCAGAGTCATTAGGAGCTGATCCCATGGATGAAGCTGGAAGCTGTTGCTGTATGCATTTGTAAGGTGCTCTGCAACTGAATGAAATGCATCTAATGTCAACCCTGTGTAGAGCTGACAAAGGTCATTTTTTCTTAGTAGCGTTATATACAGCGGCTGTGACTCATTGCACTGGGTTTGCATATCCCTTGTCGGTGGCTTCAGGTTGAGCTGTGACTTTGTGTAGCTGTGCTCAGAGACGCATAGATCCTCCCATTGTGTTTCTGCATCACAATTTAGGGGCATGCACACAGGTTCATCTTCACAGCTGTCCACTGCATTACTGGCAGCCACTGATGGATCTGTTGAAATAAATGTAATCATAATCATTTTTACATTAGTACATAATATACATAATGACAATTAATACATTATTGCACCAATAGAACATTGTGTGTATTAGTCAATTCAATAGTGATACAGGTCGGTATTATTATCTGAATAAGAAATGTAGTTTGAGAAAATGGACTTTAGGAATATGTAAAGTAAAATTAAAGGAACACTACAAAATGTATTTTAATTTCATTCCTTAAATTTATTTAAAGTTATTCTTTTAAATGTTTATAATAAGTAGTTTTTTTTAAACATATATGTTTAATGATTTTTAGATGTTGGTATATTCGAGCTGAAAGCTTAATAGATGTGTAGTCACAGCCCAAATGTCTGTGCTAGATTGGTAAGTTAGCTGGCCTGCTAACGTCTGATTCCTGTATTACCTTCACTATGAAATGCATTCAAAAATATGAAATATAACATCATGTGGCCAATTGTAATCATACAAGACTTCTTGTAACATTACTTTTAACTCATCATTGCTGAGCTTAAACGTGTTTATAGAATGCATTTCAGAAATATGACGTTAGGCGAGCAATCACTACACAAGTTGGCTTACCTGAATCGTACAACCTTTCCAGCACCCGGCGTGGCTTTTTTACCGGAGCTTCGTAGCCGAGCCATTTCTCGGGGTAAGGGTGTCTATCAGTTGGCTTTCCGTCAACGAAATGGTAAGAACACACGTAAGGGCGCTTGGGTGGCTGTTTTAAATTGAGCGCCTTCAGCCATTGCCTCAGGTGCTCATCATCTTTAGGTGGTGGATGTAAATCGTAAGGTGCACCACAACACTCCGACCGGGTCACTCTGTGTTCATAACACTGTTGTTGTAATTGGTTTCTCCTCTTTATCCAATTGTTATGGCAGCCCCGAACTGAACACGCAATGCTTGACATTCTTGCTGTAGAAGCTTACGACTAACGTTAGATCCTTCGAAACCGGAAGTGAGATGACAAAATGAGCGTAATGGCGCCACCCTTGTTGTCGTGGAAAATAAGGTCAATAGGCCGATGATACTCTGAGAGAGGGGCTCAGACCAGACGCGAGTTTCTGCAGATTTTGTGTGTTTTGGACTTTTAGAAATGAAACTAATGAGACAGTTGTTGTTAAAATTTATTGGTGATTCCTAATATTAAATTCAATCGTAAGCTTGGCAAGCAGTTTTGGAGAATTCAATGTTTCCTTATGCAAACAGAATGCCCGAGAATACTGCCCGAGAGGCGTTTTAAAGATGGCCGCCGAGTGAAATTACTTTCTGGACTTTGCTATAAAATGCGCGTCCCGTCATAATTAGCATAATTGTGAGTCGAAACCAACGTTGTACTGTGAGTATTTACATTTATTGAAGTGAAGTACACCTCAAATCTTCATCACTCATTTTAAATTGAGCTCACACTCTTTTTATTACAGGTAAAGTTTGGAGGTCTTACTTGGTTGTTTATGTCCCCAGCAATATGTACAAAGGCCGGTCGCGAAGATGATTGACAGCAAGAGAAGACCGCCCACCATAGACAGCAGTTCAATGGAGTCCATAACTGAGAAAACAAACAAACGACAACATCCCTTCAACTCCTTCTGGGTCTGTGGTTTTTAGGTTAGTGTTACTAAACCTGCATTGGATAATTTCGCATAAATGATGAAGCAGCTTAAGAAATGTCAAGTGACCTCATTTTCTTTTGGTTTTCATGAAACTGACCTGTTTAGAATATGAAAATGTATCAAAGGTGAGAGAATTTCTTGAAGTGCTTTACTTGTTTCTTAATGTTAGTAACTGAAATGACTTTAACAATGGCTTTTTACTCAACCTTTTCTCAGAAATAAAGGTATAAAAGCTGTATCTTTAATTAGATTAGATTTGTTTGGTTATAACAGCTTTAGATTTGTTTTTAATACTGACTAATCTTAATTAAAACATATCTCAAGTTGTATATTGATTTAAAAGGGGAGATGGTTATTTCTCCAAGAAATCTGTCATAATTCTGTGAATGTGCTTCTTTAAAAGTTTTTTCGCTTTTTTCAGTGACTGAAATTACTTCAAAAATGGCTAGACATCCCTACTTAATTGTTTTCAGAAAAAAAGTATAAAAGCAGTATAAAACCCACAAACAATGATATAGGACAAACAAAAATTCCACTGTAAGCTCTCACAGACTGAGAAATATACTATGAATCAAATATTAAGTCATAAAATGTATCCCAAAATAATAATAATAATAATAATAATAATAATAATATAAAATGAAATAACTTGAAAACAAAAATAAATCAACATACAGTACAAAAACATCAACCAAAAACAATGTACAGAGTTTAACAAAACCATATTTATTAAACACTTCAAACTTTTCAAACATTTAGTTATTTTTAAAACCTCTGTAGATTTGTCAACCTCCTTTTTAAAGACAGTAAATTAAGGTGGCGTTTTAAAAATGTTACATTTATGGACAAAAAAATTTAAATAAAATAAAGATTTTGCAATTAGGTCTTAATTTTTGTTCTCTAAATATACTTAAAATTTTAGCATGTTCCAACAAATAGATTTGAACATGCATAACTATTTTATTTTAGACCTACAGTGATACTTCAGAACAGAAAAACGAATATTTTAGTACCTAATAGGGTTGCACGGTTTACCGGTACTATGGTAGTATCGTGATACTGTGGCTCCAAAATACTGGCAATGCCACTTTAGTTTGTAAACAGTAGTATCGTCATTAACAGTCTATCTACATTACATAAGGTTTCATGTGGAAAGTCACTAAAATGCTCACGTTTGTGCAACAATAGACCTCTTTATTTTAATAGTCTGTGGAGCCCTTTAAGGTTGCAAAACTGTGTAGAATTCACGCATTTTATAGTAGCCTATTGCAGCTATTTTGATGTTTCAGTTCCAACGCACATCTGAATCAGTTTATTTCTGAACTGTCAGTATGATTTAGTAGCTACAAAAACCACAGCAATCTCTTTAAAAGAACGACTCACAAAGTGAAATTTAGATTTACTTTGGATTCTTACCTGATAAGACAAAAAAATAAATAGATGAAAAACCCAAAAGAGCGACAGGAAACATTAAAATAATTTTTCACCACTTCATATAGGCTAATTTTGTTGAAATATTACTGTATTTGTAACAAATTTCGTTTGGTATGATTTGTATCTTTATTTTAATTTATTTATTTTGTTGGTCAGTTATCTACAAAATAGTTTAGGTGAAGTGATGTGCAATTACTTTTTTTCAATAATAAGGGAATTATGAATTCAATTCAAGTAAGCCTATATTAACATATAACATATAGTATTTCTGACAATTTTATTGGTTTCCTAGAGTTGAGTAATGAATTACAGTATAGCACTACTTGGTATCTTGATATAGCTGGTATAGTATTGTAACATGAATTAATGGTATTGCGACAACCCTAGTACCTAAGGTGTCCATATTGTAATCTACACAATGTACATATTTTGTACCTAAAAGGATTTTTAAAAATTACTTTTTAAAAAATGTATACCACATGAGTGACAGCTTTTAAACCATTATTTAATGTGAAGCATTAATCGTTATAATTTATATCACTTAATATCACTCAAAACCTGCACTACTTTCTGGCAAATTACTTTCTCTTCCCGGATATTACACTGTCTTGCAGAACTTATGATGATGATGACTAATGTGGCTTATCAGTTGAAAACAGTTGCAAAAGTCTTGCACTCTTCTTTTCCCATAAAATCATCTTAACGTTTAGAAAATGCGAGAGTTACTTTTATTAACATAAGCGAATGTGGTCACCTACTATGCTTAGGATAAGAAAAAGTAATACATTATTGGGGTTACACATGGTTGAGCAATTATCTTGTACTGTTTGGTTATAATAGCATCAGTTTTAGTTTTAATACTGACTACACTTATGCAAAACAAAATAGGTTTGCACAAAGTTGTAGCATCCTATAGAAAGTTGATTTAAAAGCGAGACAGGTGTTTCTCTGAGAAACTGTCACAAATCTGTGAATATTCTTCTTTAAATAATCTTTTTCAAAGTATGTTAATTAATTCACATGCTTTGTTTTAGTCCTGTGGTCTTTCAGAAATTAAATTCATTGATCTATTTAATTTTTCTGATGAATGAAATCAAATAGTGTACAGTGCATTATTTACTAAATTCTCAGCAGAGTTTTATTGCAACTATATTATATTATATTATTATAAAAAATGACATTTGATTTTTTTCAAATTGAGTTCATTTTCATGTTAATGATGATTTCATAGTTTGTGCATCACAGATTAAACACTTTCAGACTCTTTGCAGCTCAACTGAGTTTTGAGAAACTCAAATATATATATATACACACATACATACACACATATATATATATATATATATATATATATATATATATATATATATATATATATATATATACACACACACACACACATACATACACATATATATATATATATATATATATATATATATATATATATATATATATATATATATATATATTACATTTACAGTAAATTATCATTTATTTACATTTCTTTGTAACACTTTACAATAAGGTTCCATTAGTTAATGTTAACGTATTAATTTACTTACGTGAACAAACAATGAACAGCAAATTTATTACAGCATTTATTCTTCTTTGTTATGTTAGTTTGTTAGCATACAGGGCATTAACATTAACAAGTACAATTATGGATTTTAATAATGCATTAGTAAATGTTGAGTTATGACTAATAAATGCTGTACTAGTATTGTTTATTCGACATATCATTATATCTTTAGTTCATGTTAGTAAATATGAATCCTTATTTTAAAGTGTGAGCAATGTCTCTTTAGTCACACATCTGTTTTTAGAAATATTTCAAATATTTTTTTCATGATAAAAACTTTAACCTATTTTGATGTATTTTCATGTTTTGAGACTGAAAGTCGAAGTTCAAAAATGTGTAAAACGTACAAACAAGGAATTTGAAAAGCAGCATATAAATGATGTAAACATGTTAAAATTGAAGGGATTAATGTAAAAAAAACTGTTGGTTTAGGTTTTAATTCATATCTGGAGTATAGATGTGAAACATTTTTATGTATCCTTTTTGTATAAACATTACAAAATATCACTTCTTATTTTTTAATGATAATTTCTGCAGTTCACTAAATTTACTTGCTTTAGTTTAGAGAAGAGCTGTATACCCAAATACAACACTCAAAATAGCAACAACCAACCAACAAACAAACAAAAAAGAGTTTACCCCAATGCATACATCAGTTTTAGCAGATACAAAAGCTCTTTTCCTCTGTGTCATTTTTTAAAAAACGTGGTCTTTTCAGGTGGAAAGTTTAGCTGGTTTTAATTTGACAGATTCTCAATCTGCGAAATTTCACTCAGCATCACCTGCCTTGCAAGCTTTTACACACCTCTATATATGTGAGTGTGTGGCTGTCTGTGGTTGCATTCAGTGCCAGGAAACGGATTTCCTGTATTTTGCAGTTAGATGAAGTAGAAGAAGAAAAAAAAAAAAACAACAACGACACATTATGTATGCTTTAGGCCTCTCTTTATCCCAAATTTATCAAGCTATAGAGAAATACCTAGAATCCCAAAACTACAAATACCTGTTTTATATTAAGAAAACTTATCAACTTTTCCAGTCACACTTAACAATAAGGTTTCATTAGTAACATACTGACATAAACTAATAATAAACAATACTTGTGCTGCATTTCCTAATCATAGTTCAACATTTAATAATGCATTAGTAAAATCCAAATGCATGCTTGATTACATTAGTTCATACACTGTAAGTTAACATAAACAACTTTATTTTCATTAACAAACATGAATACTGTATGTTCATGTCAGTAAATATATTAAATAATATAACCTTATTACAAAGCACTGCCAAATTTTGAAATTCAATATCATTAATATGCATCTAATCACTCAGTTATTTGCATAAAATAATTCATGTTTTTATAAGCAACATATATTTTCTCATGTGTTAATTTGGTCAAAAATACTTCTGGTAAGAAATTAAAGTGAGAGAATGTTTTATAATTGGTCTGTAGTAGGAAAGGCAATGTGATAATAAGGTTTCGTTTGTGGTTAAAGACCTCTTGACCTTCTGATTCTAATCAAAGTAAAGCAAAAAAAAAAAAGCAAAAAAAAAAAAATAATAATAAAAAAAAAATAAATATATATATATATATATATATATATATATATATATATATATATATATATATATATATATATATATATATATATTGTATCAGTCAGTTTGTAATTAAAATGTCCAAATGCCAAAATCTATACAGTAACTAAACAAAATTGTGATTGCCTTAAATCATTATAATCAACTATATTGGTCATTTTACTCTACATTTAATTAAACAGACTTAAAACAGCTCATATGACTAAAAAAAATCAAGTTGAAATCTGGTAAATGAGATAAATTAACATGTTGATCATGTAATGTTTTACAGTGTATTTGCTAAGGTTATATTAAAACTAAGTTGAAATATGATGAACTTATTTTAATGAATTCAGTGGACATAAGAACATGTTAATCATGTTATTTTTTACTGTGTATTTGCTAAGGTTGTATTAAAACTAAGTTTACAGTGTATTTATTAAGGTTACATATCTTAAAGGAAAATTAACAGATGCAAACAGTAAATTGAAAATTGCAACAGAAGTTAATTAGGACTGTTCATTTTCATTAGTTTCATTATATAATTAATAAGCCAAATAGTCTCTAAAAGCTAGCAAATATATAGTTTACCTAAATAATAGCTTTATTTACTAACTCATTTGCACTAAAGTAATTTATAAAAACAATATGGACTTCTTTAAAACAAAAACAAAAAACATTGTAAATCATATAATCTAAATTCTAACTAACTAGACTGACAACTAAACTGGACTGACACAGTTTCAATTTACTAGAACTTCTATGTTAAGCTGCTTTGACACAATCCACATTTTAAAAGTGCTATAGAAATAAAGATGAATTGAATTGAACAACCCAAAATTTGTGAACAGTAAAGTTTCTCATCTGCACTGATTTAAAGTGATGTATCATAAATTGTATTATATTTGATAGCACTAAAAACACACTTAGAATAAAAGCCTAGAACATATAAACCCAGACTTAAGATCTCAGTGTCGCTGAAACCTTTTTAAGAGTATTCAACATTTTGAAAAGAGAAAAAGAAAAGTTAAAAGCACTTACCCAATAAGTAGCAGCAAACAACACAGCACGATTTACTCTCAGCAGAGATCTGCAACCAAACTGGACTCTTCTCACTCACTCTGCAGATTGTAGCAGTCACACCTCATACCAGCTTCACACTAAACCTGCCACCATTTTTTATTCTTCCTCCCACACAGCTCACAATTTGCTCCTCAACTTTTGCTCCCCAAACACAAATTGAAACAATCCTAGTAGTCAGTTGTTTAACCTGCGCATTTCTGCTGAAGTTAATTCCTTAAGTTTTATAATTTAAGAGCCACTGAGGAGCGTCCTGATCTGCAGGGCCTTTTGCCGCAAAAGAACTTGACTTTTAGGTTTCTCTGCTCACTGCATTTGCTCTCTGCCTCCTCATAGGCTCATTGAAAGCGCCCTCTCTGACACTTGCACCACTCAGCATCTTTTTTTTTTTTTCTTCAACCTTTTCATTTTTGTAACTGGCTGTTCTCTCGCTCATTTCACCTCCCTCTATATCACATCTCTTTTATCTGTTCAGCTTTCTGTCACCATGCAGATTCTTTTCATTTGTTAGATGTTGGGAGTCAACAACCAGGTTCACTAAATGTTCAATTATACACAGTAAAACCCAAAAAGTCAGTGCAACGCAACTCGAACCATTTGAGGAAACTGATTGCAACAAGCCATTTAGGTTAAAAAACTAATCCTAACGAGTACTGTGAACTTAATCCATATAAGTAAATTAAGAAATTTAAACACAGTAAAACGCAATAAATGAAGAGAACTTAAACCAACTGAGTACTGTAAAACCAATAAATTAAGGCAACTCAAACCGTTTGAGAAACCGATTGCTATAAACCATTTGAGTTAAACTAATCTATATTAGTACTGTGAACTTACTTTATTAAAGTTGAAGTAATGAGGTATTTAATTAACTCATTAACTTCAACACTGATTTCAAAACTCTTTTCAAATGAGTAGAACTAACTTTCAGTTAAATTTGAGTTAACTACACTCATTTCATTTGCTAAAGTTGACTGTTGGGTTTTACAGTGTACAATATAATTGTAATTATTGCATACATTATGAATTATGACCAAACATTATGATGTATATAAAAGCTTAATGTGACTATTTTCAATTTCATAAGGTTCCTTTTACAGCATCAATGTTGTAATGTTATTACAATACATTCAGTTAAACAGGCTTAAGCATTAATTTAGTTGTTCAAGCGTAAAATGAGATGGAAGACCCTGTAACTGCTTGCACCGTCAGGAGCAGCAGGTGAACACAGAAACTTAATTGAAAATACTGGAGTAAAATAAACGGTCATATAAAAGACATGGCGCGGGGAAATTGTAAATTAATGCAGTGCTACTTGTCTGGTCTGAGACCTACATTATATCGTATATCTATCACGTAGTGAAGATTGCTGATTTTTAAAGACCTGAAGATCTGAAAACATGAAGATTGCTAATTTTTCTGACCTTAAACATGGTGCTTTTATAATGGAAAGGCAGTTCACCAGAAGCGCTGAGGCTGGCTGGCTGAAATTAAAAATCTGAGTGCATATACCCCATTCATCTTTGTTAATGTTAGTTTGTTAACTTGCAGTGCATTAACTTAAATTAAGAAGTACAATTATGGATTTTAATGGTGCATTGTTAAATGTTGAGTTATGATTTATTTATAAATGCTGTACTATGTTTATTCTTAGTTCTATGTTAGTAAATACTGTTTCAAAATACACCTTTTGATGTATTTTCATGTTTTAAGACGGAAAGTCCTGGTTTAGAAATGTGTAAAAAAAGTCTAAACATTTAGGAGGACAAAAAAAATTAAGATTTTTTGGTTTTAATAGATTTTAACATATTTTAGGTGCATTTTTTTGTATAAACACCACAAATTAAAATATAAATTTTTATTTCCTTGCGATAATTTGTGCCGTTTGCTGTTTGTTTGCTTCATAGAAAAGCTGTATATACAATTACAACACTCAAAAAAACCAACCAACAAACAAAAAACCCTGCAGGTTTACCCCAGCGTACATCAATGTTAGTAAATACATTATATTACATTATAATCAATCAAAATAAAAAATGATTTTAAGTTGACCTGATTGAGCCCCACTTTATATCGTATATCAATCAGGTAGTGAAGATTGCTGATTTTTAAAGAAATTTTAGTTGGAAATACAGTTCACCAAAAGTTCACCACGAGCGCTGAGGCTGGCTGGCTGGCTGAAATTAAAAGTCTGAGTGCATATAGCCTATTCATCTTTAATGTTAGTTTGTTAATGCATTAACCTACATTAACAAGTACTATTATGGATTTTAATAACGCATTAGTACATACTGTACTGTTTATTTTTAGTTCTATGTTAGTAAATACAGCAACTAATGAAATGTTTTTAAATACAGTATTTTCCTGTTTTAAAACTGAAAGTCTTGATTTAGAAATGTGAAAAAAAAAGTACAAATATTTAAGAGGACAAAAAAAAAAAAAGTGTAAATGTTTTGGTCTTCTATCAAAATGCCTACTCAAGACCTGCTGGGTCAGTTGGTATTTCTGTGCATTATCTCGTGTTTGCGTGGATTTCCTATAGGTGCTCCGGTTTCCCCCACAAGTCCAAAGACATGCTATAGGTGAATTGAAATAGCTAAATTGGCCGTAGTGTATGTGCGTTTCCTATTGTTGGGTTTCAGCTGGAAGGGCATCGCCTGTGTAAAACGTGTGCTGGATAAATTGGCGGTTCATTCAGTGGTGGCGACCTCAGATTAATAAAGGGACTAAGCCAAAAAGAAAATGAATGAATGAATCAATGAAGGGTTTAGGATTTAATTTAATCTTTACCAAAACAAAAACTGAAAAAGAGGACGAAAAAGTTTTTACTTGTTTTGGTTTTAATAGACTTTAACATATTTTACGTGCATTTTTTTGTATAAACATCACAAATTAATATATACATTCTTATTTCCTTGCGATAATTTGTGCAGTTTGCAGTTTGTTTGCTTTAGAGAAAAGATGTGTACACAATTACAACAACACTCAAAAAAAACAACCAACCAACAAAAACTCTGCAGATTTTACCCCACCATACATTAATACTAGAAAATACATTATATTACATTAATTACATTATAATCAATCATAATGAAATGTGCTTTTAAGTTGACCTGATTCAGACTGAGAATTTGACCACATCAAACTTTAGTTCTGCCAATTGAATGGATAGTTAGGGTTAGGGTTACACATGTTAAAATGATCTTATTATTTATTCTCCCTCATGTGGGTTCACTAGTTTTGTTATAGAAAATATTTTGAATGATTCCCAATGCAATTAAAATCACCACTAGGATATTTGCATGAAATAATTCACACTTCTTAGCAGAAGTTATTTTGTGACAATGTTTATAATCTGATGAAGGACAGCCAGTGTGATAATAAAGTTCACCCTAAGATGAAAACTAACCCTCTCATGTGGTTTGAAACCTTTATGAGTTTGTTTCTTCTGTTGAACACAAAAGAAGATGTTTTGAAGAAGGCTGACTTCTGGAACTCATTGATTGGCAAAATACTATGGAAGTCAATGGGTTCCAGCAACCAGCATTTTTATAAATAACTTATTTTGCGTTTAACAGAAGAACATCAAATAGCTTTTGAACAAGTTTTTGGGTGAACTATCCCTTTAAAATGTAAGATAGTAACAATTGGTATTTTTAAAATAAAAACATTAACCAACCAGAAAGTTGAATTAACTGCAGTTTCATAAAATAGCATAGTGATAAAGTTGTAAAAGTTTGCAATGAAAAATAGTCGCTCGTTTCGAACTAAGCGTTAACTCTGCGCTTCATTATAGCGGACAGTGAGTCATATTTCTCAGTCTTTCCTCCCACTCTTGTGGCATTTTGTGGTGTTCTTGTTGCCTACACAAACACAAATGACAGGAATGACATATAGGTACAAGTGTATTGTCACAAGCGCAACAACATCCATCAAATGTTCCACTGCAAACAGATCGCATGTGTCGGCTTCAAGCGCTTCAATGTTCATTCACGAGACTAATTTTCACAGCAAATTTACCAAACATGCTTGCATCTCTCTATCCTACCTACAAACAGGAAAACCACAGCAACTGAAAAACCTTATGATCATCGCTCTTGCCACTGCAGATAGAGAGAGAGACTAAGAGAGAAAGAGAAAGCAAATGTAGAGACTGAGAGAATGATATAAAGCAGAAATAGACTTTCTATTACCATGTGTTATATGTGCAAGGGCAAAAACAACAGATTTGAAAAATCTTTTCACCCCACACACACACGTTTGCTTTTATGAATAGTGGGGACATTCCATAAGTTTTCATTGTACAAATGTACCAATATAGAAATGGTATTTTTGTATAGACTGCAGATTTACTTTTTTGAACTCTTTCTGTACGATTTATAAGCCTTTTGAAAAATGGGGACATCAGTATTTCACACACACACACACACACACACACACACACACACACACACACACACACACACACACACACACACACACACACACACACACACACACACACACACACACACACACACACACAAATCAGAATGACACGGATCAGATTAAATTTCTCATTTAATATTAAAAAACAAAAAAGGTTACAAAACAAGATTAACGAGTTGCAAGTTTGCAAATTATCTGAAAAGTATCGCCTGGAAAACAACCATAGCAGAGGGAATGCACAAGAAACTGTCTTCATTTAAAAACAAACTAAACAATAATTACAGTTTCAGACAAATAAAATGGCATGCCATGAACCAGGCCATTGCAACAAATGAGATTATAAATGTTATTTAAAAAAACATGAATTAATATCTGAATCATGCCATGGTAGCATTAGTGTTTGTGTTATCCTTACAAAAAGACCGTAAAAGCTCAATGGTAGTATGAAAGAGATGACATAAAACAAGAGGAAAGACCGACCAAATAGTTTTTAAGTCATTGTCCGTTTTTGATGAGAGCAAATGAAACAGCAGTTTGTTTGGTCATGAGTGAGCTGACCTATGAATGAACCCATAAATAGCAATTTAAAGATTTAGTTCACATCCCTTCTGATAAAAAAAACGTAAAATGCGACTTGAAGTCTAAAACACAGTTTTAATTAAAGGCAAATAAATGTCCCCGGTTGTCTTGTTTTACCCTTGTGCTTCTGTCTCCTCCAGGTGAAACAACAAAGTGGTCCAGCGGCACACTAGGGTTTTCAGGTAAGAGGTTTCTGATTTTCTTGTTAGTTAGAAATGTTCCCAAATCAAGGTGTTAAGGATATAAACAAAACAAAAAAAGCTTAATAAATTACTATAAAATTTCCTATTGAGGAGATAGTCCAGTCATTACTTGTTTGATACTGCTCCAGGATTGGCTGCTGATGACACTGCCTCTGTCTGCCTTAGCCAATCAGAGTGCTGTTCCCTGCATGTCAAGAGCCATCCACTCTTTTGCATCATCTCAAATTAAAACACTCGACACTGATACTTTAGTGGATCTGCCGCTCCTTGGAACAACAATTGGTGCGTCATCTGAAAAAAACGTCAGAGAATTATTAGAAGTGCCATGAAAAAAATAAGAGGGAGTTAGAATTGCATAATTACAAAAAATCTTGGATAAGAAAAGCATTGCATTCAACAAAGAGATTGTTTACCGCTTTAAGTCTGTGGACTGCATTTGTGCTGTTAAATTGATATAAAATCATTAATTAAATAAAAAAAAACAATTGCATTGCTTTATATTTAAAATGCTGATAAAAATAAACAAAAAAATAATATAAAATTTGAATTGACAACTAGGAAAAACATTTGTCTTTGTAAGTTTTATTACATTTCTACATCTCTATAATTTCTAGTAGCATAAATAATTTGTTTGATTTCTTTATTTTCAGTTTTTCTTTAGTATAATTCCCTGCCACAATGTTGGCTAAAATATTATCTTTGGTATTTATGTTGTTGTTGTTTTAACAATTCAGCGTGACAAATCTTAAAAACCCTTAGAAGTTTATCAATGAACTCTTATTTACCAATATGGTCTAATTAATTTTTTTTTTAAATGTTTTAACTGGGCTATTAAAACATCATTAGCATTTAGCCCTGTTTAAGTCTTAAATATCTTAAAAAGGTCTTCAATTTGACTTGATGAAACCTGACAATTGTTTGTCTTCAGTCTTTTTTTAAACAGAAAAGGGAGATGTTTCATTAAACATTTTATAACTATAAAATTCACATTATGTTAGCAATTATTGATATGCTTTATTTATGAGTTTTTACCATTTTAGATTCCATTTGTACTATTTTTTATAATATAATTGTATTTCAGTCCAATGCATTTGTGCTGTTGAATTTTATTTAAGTTTCATTGCTATATATATATATATAATGCTGATAACAAAAAAATTATAGAAATATTGAATTGACAACTAGGATAAACATTTGTCTTTGTAAATTTTATTACATTTAATTAACAGTAATTTCCAGTAACATAAGTAATTTGTTTAATGACTTTATTTTCAGTTTTTCTTTATTATAATTTCCAGTCACAATGTTAGCTAAAATATTATCTTTGGTATTTTTGTTGTTATTTTAACAATTCAGGGTGTCTACTGGGCCTTGAAAAGTCTTAAATTAGCTGAAATATTATGTTGTAGGTCTTAAATCATTTTTAAAAGGTCTTCGTTTTCCTTTGTTTGTGTAAAGTTACCCAATCGGGCAAGGACCCATCCAATCTCCAGCAATACATCTCAATAAAACTTTTAACAAAAACTCTACTTACAAATATGGTCTAATTAACATTTTTTTTTACGTGTTTTTTATGTTTTAACTGTGTCATTACAACAATTTCTTGCATTTAGCCCTGTGTAAGTCTGTAATTTCTTAAAAAGTCTTAAATTTGAGTTGATGAAACATGCAGAAACCATGACAATTATTTCATCTTATCTTCATCTTTTAACAGAAAAGGGAGATGTTTCATTAATCATTTTATGACTATAAAATTCACATTATGTTAGCAATTATTGATATGCTTTATTTGTGAGTTTTTACCATTTTAGATTAAATTTTTAATATTTTTTAACAATATAACTGCATTTCAGTCCAATGCATTTGTGCTTTTAAATTTCATTTAAGTCATTTAAGTTCCATTGCTTTACATGAAATGCTGATAAAAATTTAAACAAACTCTTAAACTTCTTTCTTTCAGTTAATATCCAAGATAACATTTCTCATTTAGTTGGCTCAATAATCTACTAATTAAAATCCACAAAAAAATAAATATTGTAGATTTGTGTTGTAAATACATTTAAAAAAAAAAAAAAGAACAATATATAAAAGGAATAACTTTACAACTAGCTCCCATTATTTAGAAATGTCATTAGTAAAATTTTAAATTAACTTTAAGTTTCTCTGTAAAAGTTAGCCAGTTAAAAGTGGGACCTCATTGTAAAATAGTAATAAAAAAATAATTCAGAATATCAATAATTGTAATGATATGTCAGTGATATTGAAATACAAAAAAACAAACAAACTGATAACTGCTGTCATTGTTTAAAATAAATAAATGTAAACTTTAACAATTTAAAACATAACCTTGGTAGATGCGCAAAACAAATGAATAAAAATAGGCATAACTAATAAACTATTTAAGCATAATAAAACGAATAACAATTTCCAAGAATATCCTGAAATGACTGAAATCAGAGGAAATGGCACAAAAAAAATAGCAAAAGAAGCCTGTGATGTCACTCACCAGAGGGCACATAGTTCTCAGCGAGATCTCGGTCTTTCTCAATAAAGACGGCTGTGGCCAAGAAGAAAGCGCCTCCAGCGACGGCCACGAAAGAGCACAGCAGCAGAGACATCTGAAGTGAGCGAAACTCCCACATGTACGAATTTGATTCTTTTATTGAGTCTGAAACCTTAATGGCAAAAAAACAAACAGCATTTATTCATGAGAAGGTGCTGGTTCAATATAGACATTATTATTATCAATATAATTACATGAATATGCATAAGATTGGTATTTTATAGCATCAAGTCTGAAACCTTAATGGGCCAAAAAAAAAACCTAAATAAACGAAACATATGCAATCCTTAGGTGACTTAGTTTATTTATTGCCCCACAAGGAACTTAAGTTTATTTTATGGCAAAATTAATATAAATAAAAACATGTTATAATAATTATCTTTTAATTCATAATTCAATAAGATTATGTAAAAAAAAAAAAACAATAAATAAATGTACAAATTTCAGTTATACACGTACAGTTGAAGTGAAAATTATTAGCCCTAAACCTTACTAAGTATTTCCCGTAAATTTTTTTCTTCTGGATAAAGTCTTATTTCTTTAATTTGCTAGAATAAAAAAATTTATTTTTTTAAAACCATTTTAAGGTCGATATTATTAGCCCTCTTAAGCTCTCTTTTTTTTCTCGATTGTCTACAGAACAAACCATCATTATACAATAACCTGTCTAATTAACCTAGTTAAGCCTTTAAATGTCACCTTAAGCTGAATACTAGCATCCTGAAAAATATCTAGTAAAATATTAATTACTGTCATCATGGCAAAGAAAAAATAAATCAGTTATTAGAAATGAGTTATTAAAACAATTGTTTAGAAATGTGTTGAAAAAAATCTCTCCATTAAACAGAAATTGGGGCTAAAAATATAGAGGGGGCTAATTATTTAGAAGAGCAAATAATTCAACGTCAACTGTAAATATACAATCAAAAAAACATAAATAAATTTTAAAAATCAGTGGGACTTGAAAATTCAACACTTTGTGGGACTGAAAAAAAAGTGTTTTAACAGGCTTATCAGTGTATTTGTGAGATTGACTTACCACTCCTATGAGATACGGACTAATAGCGTCACCCAGCAAGTGTGAAAGGACAATCTGAAAGGCCTCTGCTGTGGAGCGACGTGTCGGGATCACAACATACTAAGAGAAGACAGGGAGAGAAACACAGAAATTATAAAAAAAGATCTTCTGCTTTTTCTTTGTCATTGAATCACAAAAGTCACTTTTGTAATAATTTCATAGCTTTGGAACAATGGTTCAAAGTCTTTTTTTACAACAGATTTTACCATCTAAGGTTTAAGTGTTTTTGTCATTTTTATTACTATTATTATATATTATTACATTATTTTGTCTGTGTAATTGGTATTAAAGTTTCATATTTCACATTCTTTGAGATAATTTAGATACAAGTTTAAGTAAATATTGTGAAATATTTAGTTGGCAAATAGGTAAATTACACTTTGTAACATTTTCATTTATACTGGTGTAGTTTATATTAATGTTTAAATTAAAAATGAGATAATTTAGATAAGGCTAAAGAAAATTTAAATGAGAAAAATGTTTTTGGCAAATAGATAAATCACATGTTCTTGTAATATATATCTTTTTTTTCACATTTACTCATTTCATTTAACAGAATTTTTTAAAAAGTACTACTTATTTAATTATTTTCTTGACTATAATTTCATGCCTAAATATTAGCTAAAATGTTTATTTTGGTAGTCTTGTTGTATTTGTTACAATTGTTTGTATTCTGACTTAAAGTAATGATTATGAAACATTTCAAAGCAACAAAGGCTGCAACCAAAGTGTTGTATAAAGGTAATTAAAACAGAATAAGAACAAGACAAAAATGGCAGACCAAAACTTCTATAAGAAGAATAAAATTAAGTTGTTTAAAAAATAACAAGGAAAAAATAATAATGGATAGATTTTGTGTGTATTTGCCATTTAAAATTTATTTAAAATAACTTCTATTTAAATTTATTACAATTTATAATTGAATACTTAAGTCAGTCTGTACTGCCAACACAATAAGACTTCACTATTTTGATGCAGTTATATGCATAACGTTATGGAGCTTTTTTGTCTTTTTTAATGTTTTAAAACATTATGAACACTGTGTTGTTGAATAATAACTACAGTGTTTCCTCTAGGATTTTTTCCAGCTGTGATGGCAGGCCTTTTACACAGATCTTCCAACTATCTATGGCAGGGGTGGCCAACCCTGTTCCTGGAGAACCACCTTCCTGCAGATTTCAGTTGCTACCCATATCAAACACACCTAAACCAATTAATTAGGACCTGAATACCACGTGATAATTACAGGCAGGTGTGTTTGACATGGGTTGCAACTGAAATCTGCAGGAAGGTGGCTCCCCAGGAACAGGGTTGGCCACCCCTGATCTATGGCATTATTTCAATGACAAATGTCGTGTGAGCAGTATTAAAAGTCAACATCGTATTTATGTAATAGGAGCATGCGAATCTCTTTGCTTGAGCGCCAATTTCTTCTGTCCGTGCAGAAATCTACTTGCACGCCCTAAAATATATGCTGCTCAGGCTCAGATTTTCTGGGGCGCTTTCAAATAAACGCTGCTGAAGTGCGATTTAGTGCATGTATATAAGTCTCCAACGTTTATTAGATTTGCTAGGAATATTTATGAATGTCTCCAATAGACTTACAGAATGGCATTTATGCGTTCTGACGTAAAATAAAATGGTTATAAATTGCAGCAAGATAAAGTAACTGTATGCAGAACCACAGCCCTTTATCTATAAGTAAAGTATAATTATGGAAACGGTGTTCATCATAACTGAAAGCTGTGTTGTGTTTGCTGGTCTCATGCAACGCCCGGCCCTGTCAGTCAGAATGTAACCTTAAAGGGTTAAATAAAGCACAGCACTACTACGATTACAGAAAAGTTCGCTCTGTTATAATTCACATACTTTTTAATATGTTTTTGTGTGATTACAACCTGCAATAAAAAAAAACAGCACAACTGAAGGTTTTGAATGAGAAGCTGTAATGTAGCCGGAGCGGGAATGAATTTTGGTGTGTTGTGCCCCGCCATGGAAGAATGAATGTAGCGGAAACCATCAACTATGCAAAATAACAAAACAATTTTTAAAAACAAGCCTACTTTTGTGTTTCACGTGAAAACAAACCCAAAAGCAGTGTGCAAAGTCATGAGAGTGAGCGAGTAATGAAATAAAATCATCTTTTAATTATTCTTTTAAATCAGCAATGAAATAAGCAGGGGGAAGAGAAGCTCACCAGTAGGATATCAGCAACAATGGCCCAATTCATTGAAAGGAATGTCTCTCCCAGGAAGATAAAGACCTGATGAGAACACAGAAATACCGTTAGCCACCAATACGGTCAGCATGAAATTGCCCTACGTCCAACAATAGTCAATATAAAACAAGAAAAAAAAAAAAACATTTCCAGGAAAGAACCACACAGCTTTCTGATTAAGCCAGGTCAAAGGAGAGGTCATATGAGCGACTTACATATGTGGCCACAGTGCTCGCCTGAGCAAACATGATGGAGAGATAGAGAAAGGGAGCCGCGAGGAGGAGTCCAGCTGCACACACTAGCGGGTCAGCTCGAGGAGTTCTGGTCCTCAGCAGTTTACTGGCCTGAACACCGCTCGCTACACCCAAGATGCCCGTTACTACAGTGATGGCGCCAAAAATCAGACTGCGGGGCAGAAGATAGTTAAACTCATTATTGGTGCACTATTTTAAAGGATTAGCTCACTTCCAAAATTAAAATTCAGATCATTTACTCATCATATTGTCACCCAATGTTAAAATCACCCCATTTATTTCTTTTGTCTGCCCTTAAAAAAGGGATTTTGAGGAAAAACCTTTTTCTACATAAAGTGGACATTTATTTGATCAGTGTTTTAACCTTTAAGTTGTAATTTCAAAGGCCTGTAAATGATCTCAGACAAAGAATTAAAAAAAAAATCTTTTTGGGATTCATAAATACATCATTGAAAATTTGTCCTCATAACAATCTGTCTCATAACATTATTAATTAATTATATATATATATATATATATATATATATATATATATATATATATATATATATATATATAATTTTTTTTTTAAATAGGGCAGTGCAAACATATATATCTGACACCTTGTATATAAAACTTGTTTCTGTTTTCATTTAAAAATTGATATCTTTTAATTAATTTGACATTTTTCCAGTGTATCCATTGCATTTACTTTAAATGGTTACAGTGCTATAGTATTAACACACCTCAAAGACATTAAACAAACATGTCATGCTGTGAATTTTCACATTTGAGGACTGTTACCTGTCAGAGTCATCACATGGAGCTTTAAAACACGGCTGCTTGACTCCGGTGAAGACGCCGGCTCTAAATAAAAAGGCAGGAGCCCACAGGGCCAGTGATCCCGTCACAAAGGCCACTGCCGTGAAGCCGAACGTGGACAGAATAAAACTTGGACTAAAACAAGACATGGAGAGAAAGGGGGATGGAAAAAGAGATCACACGGGTGTATAAAATCAAATTGTCAAATTCCTTTCATAAATAAATGTAAAGAAAACTAAATCATTTACTGGTACCTCTAAATAAAACAAGACTTTTACAAACAATTATAAACATTAATTTTACTTTCCCTTTCTCCACAACAAAAACTACATAAATATAGGAATAAATGGACAGGAATTATAGTGGCATTTATTATAAACTAGGTTTATTACATTAGTTTTTGAAACTAGACTGAAACTGAATCTAGTGCATGCTAGTTTTAAAACTGAAACAGAGTCATGTGCATGTTAATTTTTTTTCACTTTGTTCTGTGGAACTGAAATAATTTAGAAGCATTTTTCTCTAATAATAAACATCTGTATAGATTTGAGCATCAATAACCTTTAATGTATTAACAAAAATAGCTGTAAACTTTCTTCAAAATACTTCACCTAGAGCAATGGTAATCTTTAGCTTTGTGATGATTCACCATAACATCTAATAATAACCTTACAGATGGTTAGTGGTGTTATAATCAGGCTTTCTGCAGGTTTCAGCAAGTCAAATTTAAGAAATGAAGACCATTATAAATTCAATTTTAGACTTATACAGGATTAATCACGAAATGCCCTATTATACACCCGGCATGATAAGGCGCAAGACGGTGTGTTGCTGTTTTCAGACCAGCGCAACCCTAATTTCACATTTTACAGAACGTATGTTTAGATATAACTCAGTTTTTTGACCACACTTGGTTATTATTGTTCCTTTATTTGTTTGCTGGAAATTAGAACTGAATTTAGAATAGTTTTGAAACAAATCTTTGTGCTTAACAAATGAAATTAAATATGTAGGCTAATGGATATTTTCAGTTAAGTGCCCAAAACACCGTTTCCTTATCCATGAAAGTAAAGCAGTACAAGTAAAGTTAAGAGAAAGTAAAGAGGCAGAATGGAGGAGGCTCGTTCTTTATCCTCGCGCTGCTGATGGTATGTTTTCTCGCTAGTGAAGGGCTCAGTTTTTCCACTTACAAAGTCCACCATGTAAATAGCAAATGTGTCATGGTGTGACGCAACAGATTATGCTCAAAACACACCCATAAGTCATTAAAAGAATAAGCACAACCCTGTTAGACTATGCGCCAGAGCGCAAAGCATATTTTTCTATCCTTAAAATAGTAAAAGTGGATTCCGACACACGCTTAATGCTTTTGCACCATGCGCTTTAGACTTTGCGCCTAGATTGTTAAAATAAGAGCCCTAATGATTTTTTTCTAATGGCCCGGTATCTTCATGAGGAATCATTTAGTTATTTTTAGTTTTCTTTCCCTGAATATGGATTTTAATGGGGAATTTGCTGTAAAATTGTCTTACAGCTGTAGTGAATTGTATGTCTTTACAATAAAAAATCTTAGTCGCACTTTACAATAAGGTTTATTAGTTAATGTTAATTAATGCATTTACTAAGATGAACAAACAATGAACAATGCATTTACTACTGTATTTGTTCATGTTAGTTAACATTAGTTAATGGAAAATACAGTAGTTCATTGTTAGTTCATGTTAACTCACGGTGCATTAACTATTGTTGACAAGCATGGACTTGAATATTAATAATGCATTAGTAAATGTTCAATTATGATTAATAAATGCTGTACAAGTGTTGTTCTTAATTAGTTTATGTTAGTAAATGCATTACCTAATTAACCTTATATAAGTGTAACCAAAATCTTAATTATAGAAAGTAAGGTTTTATTGAGATGTGTCGTTGGTTATTCAATGGATGTCGGCCCAATCGAGTAGCTTTACTTGGACAAAGCAAAAATAAGATCTGTTTAAAACGATTTAAGCCCTTTTTGGAATTTAAGAGTTTTTAAGACCCAGCAGACACACTGTAAAATTCTCTTGATCATTTCGCAAGCTATGGTAATAATAACACTGATAATACCTAATAATTAAGTAAAAATCCCCAGCCTATCAAGCAGCACTATCTAGATATTGAAAAAGTCCCTGCATTAAGTCTAAGGCAATAGCTAGGATTTCTAAATGATCCTTTAAGGGTGATGTGAGCTCTGAGTCACTCACTTCCTGCAAAGTGCTTTCATGTCTGCCAGCCAGCTGGTTCTGTGCAGCGTGTGCTCGGGGTGAGCTTCAATCGCACCACGCTTCGGTTCCTGAACCACAAGCATTAAGAGGAACACGGCCAGCAGTCCCAGCCCAGGGGTCACCTGAGGGAGAGGAAACAAACAGAGAGGGGGGAAAAAAGTAAGATAGAGAAAGGAAGTGAGAATAAGTGGGAGAAAATTACAGAGAAATGTTATCATCGTATTTAATCTCCAAGTGTCATTCTGTGGTGAAAGCAGCAGGGGTGAATTATGTAACTGACAAACAAACAAACAAACATACAGCAATAAGTTTAATACCCATACATACCCGAAGTGCCCAATGCCAATCTTTAGCCACAGTATCCACCTTTGAGCCCACGATATAACCCATACCACTGAGAAAAGAAAAAAAAATTTTTCTCATTATTTGAATGAGAGAATTGGGAGAAATTGTGGTCCATATTGCAGGTTTAACAACTTAAGGTAGCTATAAAGACAATATATCGCTCATCATTGTGGATGCTGATATACAATCTGTTTATATTTAGTTTATACTTTTCATTTGGTAAAAACCCCTTTTAACCAGCAGATGTTCTCTGTGTGCTACTATCTTATTTGACCAATGAATATTTATTTAAAAATGTATTGATCTACTCAAAACATATTTAGCAATCATAGTCAGTTTAGTGCAATAAAAACAACACACTATTTTCCCAAGCATTTTCAAAAGATGGAACACAAAGATGCTAAAACTAGCACTCAATAACTGAGGAACTTTTATTTTTGATTTCAAATTGCTAGCCTGGCTTGCAGAGCTTAACTTCCATGTATTTTTATCATTATTTCCCATGATTTAATATTTTCTTGATATTCATAATCTTTGCATAATTAAAAATAATAATATTAATAATAATTACTTCAGCAGTGAACTTCACCAAAATGCCGTCTGTAGCTTTAAAAGTTGTGAGCGATTTACATTTCAGTGAATTGTGGATGGCTTTCCCAGTGAATTAGCTGGGGAAAAAATTTACTCTGAAAGTGTATTATATTCTATAGTGTTTTTTTTTCCTACTATGGATATCAATGGCTGCCAGTTACCAATATTCTTAAAAATATCTTGTTTTGTGTTCAACAGAGTTTGAGTTAGTTTATTTATTGCCATATCAGCAACTCCTGGCTATTTCTTGGCAAAATCAATATTGCTGAAAAACACATTACATAATAACTTCAGATCTCAATGATAAAGAGTAAATAAACAAATATAAATAAATAAAAATGGCAAATATTTACATTAAAAAAAACATAATTTTTCTGTTCATTCTGTGATAAGTGTCCAACAGATGAAAGAACCTTCTAAAAAGAGAGTAAATCGTAATTTAAGGGTAAAATCTCCCATTAATGTGCACTACTTTCATTCACAAAGAACAGATTACATTGATCAAAAAAAAAGGTCTCATTTTAAATAAATGCTTTTGAACTTTTCACAAAAGTACAAATCATTTTAAATAATATGTTTTTTTTGTTGTTGTTTTTTTTAACAGTAAATCATTTAATTTGAATAATTTCTGAAGGGTTGTGTGACACTGATGACTGGAGTAATGATACTGAAATGCCTTTTTATTACCACATTAAATATATATATATATATATATATATATATATATATATATATATATATATTTTTTTTTTTTTTTTTTTTTAAAGCATTACTGCTAATAAATGATGAAAATAAAATCTGAATAAATGTTTATCTGCATTTATAATTGTATATATTATAAATATTTTTACCATCATATCCACAATACATTGCCAAGGCTGTCGGGAGATGTTTTAAATGTCAGCAGAAAAGGTTTTAGTGATCCATCAATACATTTATCACAAGGGTTTGTTATTTTAATTGGAAAAAGCTGATAATTTCTACTGTGTTGTAACATATATTCCAGTAGAAAAGAGAGAGGTCTGTCATTTTACCAGATATGAGGATAAACTAAATAAACAATTCTACAAAATAAGGTCAATAGTATGTCTGTATAGTTAAGAGAGGGCAAATTTAATTTCGTGCTAAATTTCCCCCAAAAATTCAATTCAGTAACTAATTATTACTCAGAAGTGCTCAGTCGTAGCAGACAGGAAACTTACAAAAACAACATTTCCTGATGTGAAAAATCTGTGTGAGAACGTAACCATGGTGTGAATGTGCAACGATGAAGTGTTAGAACTTAAACACCGGTGATTGGACTGCTGACTGTGTGTGAGTGTACTTGTTTTTATATCCCAGTTGACACTTTAAGCTAAATACACACAGACTCATGGGGACCTGTGAATCAAAATTGAGGTCTCATGAGTCAACATGCTTATAAGTCACACTGAATTATGTATTTTGAAAATGTAAAAACGCAAATAGTTTCTTGTGAGGATTGGGTTTGGGGGGTGCACCAATCCCAAAACTTAGATCAGATATCGAATCGATACTGCATATTTTTGATGGATCGGGTATTGGACAGTTAGTTCCGATCCAAATCTGATCTTGCGCGTGCGCTATATTCTGTGTAATTTAAAAGCCAACAAAAGCCATGTAGGTAGCCTATTATAAGGCACTACTAGAAAGTTGTCATGCATGTCTACTATATCCCAAATGTTCTGAAGCCATTCTATAGTATAATGAGAAAAACAAATGAATATTCAAGTGCTTAAATTCATGTTGACTTCAGCGCTTCCCTCCGCTGTGCCTGTCAATTATTCATTATTCATTTACAATTCAAACTACATGTTGCGTTTGTTCATGACAACACGAAAAACTTTCTCCAAGACTATTTTTTCCTATTAGTTTAAATAATCAGTGGAGAATTGCATTTAGTTTTGCATTGAATGGGTTCATTTTGACCTGCAGAAAGGAGTTCATTGCTGTTTAAGTCATGTTGCGCTGTGTCTTTTAGATCAGCAGATAGCATTCGCAACACTGAAGTAAAGAGGGTTATATTACCTGCTCTTCAAAACACCAAATAGGTCTAGCTGACATTTTAAATGAGAAAAGGCTCAATAATACATTGGACAGATCCTCAACACACTTATTTCTCAAAAGACTGGTTATTTTACCAATGAATAGGGTCAATAGTGGGAGCCTATTACAGATTTCAAAGAAAAACCTTTATATTAAAAAAGGAAACATAAGCTGGACCACAACAGATCAATGTCATGATGAATGCTCAAATAATGTAGCCTAGCTTACAGCAATCATTTTAGTTAGATTGTGTTGTCTGTCATTTACAGTAGGCCTGTAGGTCTGTTATTTTTACTAAATAAGATATATTATTTGAGGTTATTACCAGAACTATATATGTATATAAAAAAACGGCATAGTATCAGGATCAGATCTTTCTCAGAATCTTAGTATCGGGATCGGTTCCAAAAGAATGTTATCATGCACCCTTAACTATACGAGGCCCCACTGTGATATAGTAACAAGACTGTGTGTATGTGTGTGGTCCTACCTGCCCACTGGGATGGCAAAATAAAATATAGACAGCATGTTAGTCCTCTTTTCCTTGACAAAGAGGTCAGCGATGATGGTGGGAGCAATGGTGGAATAACTGGCCTCTCCAACACCCACTAGCCCTCGTGTCAACAGCAGTGCCCAGAAGTGCTGAGAGAACATTTAGCACTCTTAAAACACACTCTTCACAACCTGAAATATAAATCAAGCCTCTGTGTATTCAAAAGCATGGGATTTTATGTGGGACTTACATCTTTCCCGATAAATGAGCTGGCAAGTGTTACCACAGACCAGAAGAAAATCCCCACACACATGATCAGCTTCCTATTATACCGGTCACCCAGGTATCCGAATAGAGGAGCCAAGAACATGTAGCTGCAGATGAAGACTGACACGAAATGAACAAAGAAAGTGAAAGAAATTACAACTATTGATCGGTAATAATAGCAATCATATTTTCAGTTGGCATGAAAACACTCACCTGTTTGAAGCAGCCCTGACGTTCCATCACCAATGCCGAAGAAATGTTCAATGTCTGGAAGTACACCTGTAAGAGAGCAAATGTATCATAATCATTAGATTTATTAAAATTATACATTATTCCTTGAATTACATTCTTAGTTTTGCTTTTTAATTTTTCTAGAAATTTCTAGAGTCAATTTTGTGGTTAAAATTCAAAATTCTCACATTTTAAATGTTCTAATTTATTAATCAAGCAGTCAAAACCAAGAAATCTGTTTTAGATTTCAAGAAAGATCTTAACAAATAATAACAAAAGTATGTTTATTACTAGTGGTGTAATAGATCCCAAATCTCGGTGTTTGGATCACACTATGGTTTTTGAGTCACGAATCAGACCATTTTTCAGATCAGACAAAGAGGGAGGAGACAAATGTCAATTGATTTCCATTTATACAAAAATATTACTGCAAAAAATATTGGTTTTAACAAACAGAACCTGTCATTTTAATAAAGATAAAAATCAAGAAAATACCGGAAATTTTTCAATAGGAAATATGATCTTTGCTACCGTTGCTGAAAATGCAAAATATATATATCTAACATCTTTAACAACAGGTCATAGTTATTTTCAATTATTAATTCAACAATTCACAAACAAATCTTTACGTTTCACTATAGGTGGATCATTTTTGAAAACCTATTCAGTGAAATAATTTGGATGGTTGTTTGTCACCATCTATTGGTTACACAATGTAATTGCTACAACATTCAACAGTGTCAAGTTCCATTAAACAGTGATTTTAATCTTTACCATATACATCAGTATTTATATCTGAACTATAAACTGTTCTCACCAGTCTTTTTGTGTTATTTAAATGTTAATAACAAACTGCAAAAGTGTAAAAACTGAATCTCTCTCGATCAAACACCGATTTGAATGCAGAGCTTCGTAGGATTAATAAACATATGCAAATCATTATTTATCATTTATGTAGCGGGGGTTTGAATTGAGATCAAGATCTTTTAATGTTTAATTGTGCTGCTTTACACTGAATGCATTAATGCAGGCTAAACAAGCAGTGACAGAAAACACCTTTTATTAATGACCTAAGAAAGCATTTAGGTCCCACCAGATTTTATTTTTCATCATCATTATATTTTACAGGGAAGACACAATGCTTTCATACATGTGATTTGAATGAGGCGGGAGGCGATCTCTCTGCAATTGTTATAAATGTTGAATTAACCTACAAGTTCTAAGAATTTAAATGTCACTTTAAGCTGTATAGAAGCGTCTTGAAAAATATCTAGTAAAAAACTATGTACTGTCATCATGGCAAAGATAAAAATAAGTCAGTTAGAGAAATCAAACTATTATGTTTAGAAATGTGTTGAAAAAAATCTTCATTCATTTGGAAAAAAATACTTTAAAAATATAATTTAGGAGGACTAAAAATTCCTAATTTAACTGTATATCTAAGTTAAAATAATTTAATATCACATTAACAAACAAACCTAAACCTTACACAGACGTTACCGCAAAGTGTCTTTGTGTTGTGCATTTGGTTTGGATGAAAAGTCACTGTTTAACAGCATTAATACACCGTCTAATAGCACCAGTTACCTGCCACAGTGAATCTGTCCATATAGTTCAGCAGGTTGATGTAGCAGAGCACAATCACAGTCATTATGGCTCTCCTGTCGGTGACTCCGCTGGGAGACTCCTCGTCCTCAGGTAGAGGTGACCCCACCCCATTTTCAACAGGCCCCTCCCCTTCATTATCATCAGCGAAGAAGGGCGTGATGTCTGCATCTGCTTGTGACATCACTGCTGCAGAAAAATAAAGACAAGGATGAGGCAGAAGAAATATTATGATGTATGGTACAAGTCAAAATCTTGAAGTTATGGAAAAAAATTATAATAAATAAAATTAAAAAATAAAGAAATAAATATAATAAAACTATTGGTTTGATCTAACACAATCATATATGCTTAAAGGAAGCAAAGCTAAAGAGTGATGTTAAGTGCTCAAGAGCAATAAAAGATCAAAGTGTACAAACATAGATTATTGATCACACTCTAATCTCAAGCTCACGAGGATATAAGTTCAAATGTTGGATGAAACCTGTGGAAATGAATAAACAAATAATAAAAAGATTTTCCATTCATTATATTCTTGAAACATATCTACAGAATTTAAAAAATGATTATTTGTTTAATGCCATCCAAATAGTTAATTTTTTAAAAATATTTTTTTTACATTTTATGCCAGGGTTTCAATTAATTGGCCTTTTTACTGATTAAACTCTAATATACAAATAAGATAAATAAAAACTCAGAGACACTCAAAAAAAAAAAAAAAAAAAGTATCTTGAAGTGATTTTTCTGCTTGAGTATCACACTTTATCCAATATTACTGAAATATTTTGTTGCCCAAATTTACTCTGTGTTACATTTACATACATACATTCTTAATATTTTAAAAGAGAGATTTAGAGATTTTAAATGTAGACTAACATTTTTGATCCTCACTGTAAATTCTGTGTGAGATAATCCATTTACAGTACTATCAAAGAGCTCTTTGTTTTATTGACTACAGCATTTTTCCAAAACAGATTCCACGGTAACAGTATAAATGAATTAAACTTTAAATCCTGCTGGTCAGAGGATGGGTAAAGTTGGTTTCAGACTTTCACATTCATTAAGTATGTAAGTCAGCATGTAAGACTGCTAAATTCTGTTATTTATCATTGTAGTCGATTATGAGCAGAATGTACAAGACAGTTTTCTGTATAATAACAATTCTTGCAAGAGGAAGATGCGCAGAGAGGGAAGTAGCCACAAGCTCGTGACCCCAATTAATCTCTCCACAATGTCACGTGAATACAGTAATGAAGACTTTATGTTGAGGAACACATACTCTATGGACCTAAGAAGCAGTGTATCATTTTGATTAGAAAAAAGTTCATGTTTATATTTAATTAAAATCGTAATTTAAAATTTTGGTGCATAAGTAAATGAAAGTTAAAAGCCAGACCCACTCAATTTAACGAAGGTAAAGTTGGTTCACATTGGTTCAGTGACAACTTGTGACATGCTCCCTATATTGTTTACCATGGTACTTTGAATATTCGCTCTGAAATCAGATGCAAGTGAGCATTTCCAGCGTTATGGATGCGACATTTGCAGTAAAAACTCAAAACATAAATTCACATAGAAAGTATACATGTTAACATTATACTGAAACATCTGTTTATGTTTTCCAAAACAACTCATTACAGAGTTAAAGGACCAGAAAAATATCAATCTGTAAACATGTTTTGTACTTTAAATAAAGAAAATAAACATACGTTATGGATGTGACCAAAATAGTATTTGCAGTATACAACATGCTTTGTAGAAATTAAGAATTAAACCGCACAACCCAAAAGAAACAATGATAATCAAGATAAGAGTTGGATCTCTAACAAAAACTATTGATTTTGTTATATTTTATATTTTTGCATTTATGAGGGGAAAAAATGTGTCGAGGATGGGACGGCTCTCCGCTATGGATGTGACCGATGTGAAATTGCCACTTGTGTGTCTATAAATACTTAAAAATGTCTCTGTCAATTAGGGCTGTGCGATTTAGGAAAAATATCTAATTGTGATATTTTTGACAGATATTGCGATTTGATTTGCGATTTTAATTTTGTAGTCAAGCTTCAGCTAAATAATCTGTAAGCTGTGACAACAATTCTGCAATAGCTCCTTAAAATTACCATTTTTTTTTGTGTCTGCGAGTTTGAAACTAAAATAGTCCCATATTACCAACGCTCTTTCTCTTTGATATTAATTCCTCTATTAATGCTTCTGAAGCAGCAGACATTATTATCCCACTCGTCCGCACTTTCCTGTTTGTTTGTTTTTTTTCTATTGTGGGCGTTCCGCATAGTTCAGTCGCACAATTTTGATTGGGCAGAATGAAAGTTTGCTCACTCAATTGGCTAGTAAGACTTGTCTTACTAGCCAAGAAGGGGGAAATAAAATAATACAAATATAGTTGATACTGGGTGTCCGTGGGGTCTTAAAAAGTATTAAAAGTTGATCAATCAATATAGAGAAATTTAAGGCCCTTAAAAAGTATTAAAAAGTCTTATATGCTATTTTGCAAGGTATTAAATTTTATATAGTTTTTGATTATGCAAGGTATGCAATTTTACATCATGCTGCTTTGTTTAATGCAGTAACCAAGGCAACACCATTATTTCTGCAGGTCTATAGGCGTTTATATAGGTTTTATTTGGTATATAAATAATGTTTTAGTTTTGGATTAGTTTCTTACATTAATATTTAGAAAATATATTGCAAGTTAAAATCTCGCTGGTGTTTTATAAGTAGGGCCAGACGGAATCTGAGGACGTTTTTTTGCTATGTCTGCGGAGAATTTGAATAAAAGTCTGCAGATTTCTACTAAATTATTTTGTGAGTATCATAACTAAAACCTTAATATATTAAATAAAAAACTATATCTTTTTAACTTTTTAATGTTTAAAATGCTAATCCAATTAGATACACTTTATTTGGTAAATAAAACAAGTCTGTCATATAATATATCTAATAAAAGACAGAAAATATGACTTTACAAACTGTATTGTACATAAATCAGATGAAGATTTTCACAGTCAATAATTTTACTGAAATCAATTAAAAAACTGAATAAATAAAGATTTACACACATTTACTCAAGTGAATAAACAGAGTTAATGATGGGCTAAAAATCAGCGGAAAATCTACGGAATTCTGCGCGCACAGATTCCGGGTGGGCCTAGTTATAAGGCCTTACATTGTACGGAAAGAGTCTTTAAAAAGGTCAGAAAAGGTATTGAATATTACTCTGATTCCTGTATACATTCTGTTATATCGCAGCCACTTGCGATTGAACTAATTGCAACGTTTCAAATTGCGATTCGATTCCGATTAATCGCACAGCCCAACTGTCAATGATTTCTAACTATTATATTTGATTTACTTAAGTACTGTAAATCACTTGCTTACAATAAGAAACATAGAAAACAGTTTTGATATTTTGGTGAAAACTTTATTTTGTTTTCATGGCAAGGTTGACATTTGCATGGAACTGCTCATGGATGACTTGAAAACAACATTATCACTATTTAATTAACTAGCCAATGTTGTGCTTTGATAGTCATTGGCTGCTAATATGATTTCATTATTTACAATTTGAATTTCTGTGAAATTTTATTAAGGAGAAAGTCTGAATATAAAATGAACTTCACCTTAATCTCAACATATAATGGACAACATGTCAGAATACTCTTTATCTACTTTCAGTAAACCGACAGATCTCGGATTGTCAGCTGAATCCAACTAAAAGCTGAAGCGGCTTTTGCTGACTGCTGACATGTGATGCTGCTGTTGACAAATATCAGTCTGGTTAAGCAACATGTTTGACTGGCAACGATCCCAGACGCCAACATTAAAGTTATATTTTACCCTTCTTGTAATGTAGGAAAAGGCTTAGAAACGCTATCACTGTTGTGATATTGGTTTAAACGAATACATTTGCATATAAACATAACCAAAAAAGCAAAACATTAGATTATAACAGCCAAGAAACAACGTTTAATTACAAGAGACATCCAGACATCTCAAAAACAAATTTAAAAGAGCGATATATATCTCCGGTCAGATATACCAGAGCATTTATTTAGAAATCGGTTAACACCCAACAGTCCTCGTATCTACACTGTTGTTTACCTGGAAAATGCAAAGCGAAGTCGGAGGCGTCCTCAAAGTTCTTCTGTGGACGCTGTCGGGTTCGTTTTGGGATGTCGAGATGTTTCGGGCTGTCTTTACCTAACCTCTTGCGTGAACATGTTTGTACTGCAGTGGAGAGACTTGAATCGAACCGTGCAGCCGACCGACTTACAGTTTTGTTTCTGATTTACAAGCTCAGCACGACGCCATATTGGTATGATGACGCAGGGCTTCCGCTGCACAGTCATGTGACGCCCCTCCTCTCCTTCCCTCCTCAGACAAGCATCAACACAAAATTGTTAACATCTCGAAAACGTACCACTTTTGTGTAACATTTTACACTTTTTATACAAAAAAAATACGCTTTTAATGAGTTTTCGCAGATTTAATATGTTCTTTGCAGATTTTCCCTTAACTGTTGAATCTCATAAAACTTATTAAAAATACTAACAATACGTTTTTTAAGTTTACGATGATCTTTTTAATAGTTGAGGCTTGAATATTACATTTATTTCCTTCTCTCTCCTACCTTATGTTACTTTGTTTTTAGCCAATTTATTGCTTTCAATGACTGATAGTGTGCTTAACTTGCACTATTCATTATTATATTCATTATGCATGTTTGTAATTTTGTGGTTATGTAAATGAATAATTGATCTTTAAATTTATTTATTTCATGGAATTAATTTACTATGTTTAATGTTTTTGTTTCTTATTTAATATTTTGAATATTACAGGATTTTATGGTACTGAATTATGTTTATGCAGTACTTATAATCCATTCATAACCCATTAATCAATTTAATGTTCGATCTAACTGCCTATAGCTAATGTGGCCAAAAATATTGATATTTATTGCTATAAAAATGCACTTTTCCAAGTAAGAAATGTGTGCATTAAACCTGAGACAATCAAGGTTATAAATCAAAACAGCTTTCACATTTGAGGTTAAATCACACACAGAAAATACTTTTTGTGTTACTGATTGGCCGCAGGGTCAAATATTTCTTCCAATGTGTTATTTCTTACCACCACCAACACAAGCATGACATTTCCCCCCAAAGATTAATCAATCTCATAGCATGCAGATGTATTAAAAAACAATTAATTTTGACTAAGCAGGACCAAAGACAAAAGATGTTTATAGAATTACTGCATCAAACAACAACAAATCTGCATCATTTGTTAGTGCTGTTAATTGTTTGTGCTTTTTGTTCTGATGAATGAATGAATCGTTTGAGCTAATCAATGAAACACAATAATGTGTTCAGATGGATGTTCAGTTTAGGTTGAAGCTCAGAAATCATCCTGGTGAACTGACAAAATAACCTGCAAATTTCCGTAATTAATTTCTAATTATCCTTACAATACATTTTAATGTATTCACAAGGGTTGGACCAAATGTGTATGTGTGTGTGTGTGTGTGTATATATATATATATATATATATATATATATATATATATATATATATATACACACACACACACACACACACACACACACACACACCGTTTATTATTTCTCAGTTCATTAAATCAGTTCAATTAATAGTGATAAACTGTAATACATTGCATTTTACAGATTAAAAAATATAGTATGTTCTACTTAGTAGCCACCTTGACCGATGAATGCAACAGAAATATTGCACAGATTTGTTATTTTATCAAATTATTTTAATTGAAGTTAATTCTTTACATTAAAATAAATCAAATCTTAAATAGTATATACACAATGTAAAATTGTAAAAGGTAACTTTCACATGGCTGCAAACACAAGTCAAATGTGTATCGTTTATGAAACCCCTGCCCCAAAATAACAGTGTAGACCAAACTCATCACAAGTAAAAAGTCAATTCAATTCAAAGACATTTTCTTTTTGCAAACCACACAATTTTCACACCACATTGCATACAGAACATGGCGCAAGTACAAAAAGGACAAACATCAATAGTTGCATGCGTTTAGGCCCAGACTTCAATGACATCACCGTCCTCCATGTCCAGCTCAGCCGGAGTCTGATTATTGGAGACCCTTGACCCGTCAAAGAGGAATTTAGCCCTCCGTCTTGCACTCACATCCATACTAGAGACATACTGAGACAGAATGGACCCGATAGGAGCAGTCTAAAAAAACAAATGAAATAATTTAAAAGGGTTAGTTCACCCAAAAATTAACATTGGATTATTAACCACCCCCTCATGTAGTTTCAAACCCGAGACCATTGTTTGTCTTCGGAGCACAAATTAACATATTTTTAGGTGAAATCAGATAGCTCCCTCATCTTCCATTGACAGCAAAGTCCAGGAAAATACATCCTCTGAACAGATGGTATGGCTTCAGTAGTACAAATCGCAATATTATCAAGCTACAGGAATACTTTCTCAGTGTCAGTATAGGGCGCACGTTCATGTTTCACACTTATGACATTAACTTTAATGTGCCTGTACTTGTTTCATAAAGACAAAGTCATGCTTGGCCACCTGTAGTATACATCTATGCACAGTGTTCATGAATGAGCACCCTATACTGACACTGGAGGAGAAGAAACTGTTGAATAATGTACTTGTTTTTGTTTCATGTGCCCACAAAACTGTTCTTGTAGCGTCATAATATTCAATTGAACCACTGAAGGCATTTGACAATGTTTTTCTTTTCTGAACATTGCTGTCAATGTAGGATGAGAGAGCTCTCAGACTTCACCCAACATATCTTAATTTGTGATACAAAAGTAAACTAAGGACTCAGTTTTGACATGACATGAGGGTGAGTAATAAATAACAGAATTTAAATTTTCAACACTTCAAGCTTAACATTACATTTCTTTCAAGAAAACACAAGCGTGAGAAGAACATCTAAAAAGGCATCCAGTACACACCTTCTTCAGTGAATACACCTGCACAGATGATTTCTCTTTGCCTTGCAGTCGCACAGTGATGACATCACTTTTGTCAGTCTCTTCTTGTATTTTTTCGGTTACAACACAATCTAAATACAGCAGAGACGGAAAAAGTTGTGTGATTTGTTAAATGTCTACATTAGAAATTCAATAGAATAAATGGCCACTGCCTTCTATTACCTACCTATAATGTCAGCTATGCCGAGGCCGAGCTCACTGACAGACGAGTGAATGGGAAGGTCGATATCTTTCTTTAATAACAGAATTTGGCTGGAAGGGACATTGAGTTTGATGGCCAGTTGTTCCACAGCTTTACTCAAAGGAGCCGTCTGCAACCAAAAGTCAAGTGTACTGCATGATTTGTTTTTTTAAATAATTAGTTAATCATGCATGTAAAATTTTTTAGATCCAAATCAATTTGAATTTCTTTCTTCAGTTGAAAACAAAGGAAAATACACCGAAGAACGTTTAAAACCTGTAGACATAGTGACAAAGTGAACAGCTACTCATTCCAACATTCCTCAAAATATCTCCTTTTCTGGTTAATAGAAATTTTTGGGTGAACCATCGATTCAAATTCATGTGCCTTTGTACATGATAAATAAACTCCCCTGTTGTGAGCTCTTCTCTGCTGAGATGTTTATTGGCACATAGACAGGTTAACCTGCTACTCGGATGAAATCAACCAATAGCAAACCAGAACAATCCAATCAATTCCTGACCAACAAAATGAAGACCCGCTCTACATTTTGTTGACTGAAAATTGATATTACATTTGAGAATATGTCCCAATTAGGAAAGACTTTTTGAAGAAAGACACAACGGCACATAATAGGGTATATGCCGAGCTAGTGCTGTTCCCATGCTGATACACTTCCGGTGACCTGTTATTGTGAACTTTTTTCCGTTTTATACGGTTCCTTATACAGCATCGATGTTGTAATGTCCTTAAAATACATTCAGTTAAATAAACTTTAGCATTTATTTGGTTGCTCAAGCGTAAAACGAGACAAAAAGCTGTTTACTCACACGCGCCCGTCAGAATCGGCAGGCTAACGCAGAAGCTCCATTGAATATACTGGGGTAAAATAATTGCTCATATTATAAAGATATGGCGGGGGAAATGTAATTTAATGCAGTGCTTCTTGTACAATCTGAGACCCACTTTAAATCGGATATCACTCAGCTAGTGGAGATTGCTGATTTTTAAAGAAAACAGACCTTAAACGCACCGGATTTTGCATTGGCATTCAATTTGCCGGAAGCGCTTAACCAGGTTACTGGCAAATTAAAAGTCCTATTAGCATGCTTCGGCATATACCCCATTAGGGCAATCAGATCCAGATTAGGCTTACGACGGTATCAAATTTTCTTGTGTTTAATTAGTGAAGCTTTTATTCACAGTGTTATTGATCTAAGCAACGGGAAACATTACTTTAGAAGGTATAATTACAAACAAAATACTCTGTGTATTGCTTACATGTTCAGAGTAAACAAAAGTTGCACCCTTATTAAATTTTAAAAAGATTATAAAAGTACAACATGTAACACTTTAAAATAAAAGTCTCTATAGTAAACGTTAGAAAAGGGTCAAATTATCAGTCAGAAAAAGCCAGGTTTATTTGTTACTAGGATAATAGTTAAAATATAACAGAATTTTATTAGTTATAAACTATTTAATAAACTTACAATTGAGGAGGCATTCGGTAACAAGAAGAGGCGGTAAACAAAAAAATTAGATAAACTAACTGTTAGTGTTCAGACAATTAGGTGCTAGAGTAAGAGTATTTAGAAAGGGAAAAAAAAGGGTTTCTACAGGTGGTTTGTCAAGCCCTCTCACCCTCAGTTTTGGGGTCGTTGTGTGGTGAGATGGGGCAGAGAAGAGGGATATATGCATGTTTGTTATCCTGACAGTGCTTCCCACTGGTTTGAAATATACTTGCAGTGGTAGCTGGATTTGAACACCTTTTACCCACATCACATAAATAATTAGATATATGCAACAAACAAAATATAAGTAGATTTTTTTATTATCAGTTATAAACTTTTTCTTTTCTATGGGTTAAAGTAAAAAAAAAAAATCTGTTGATATAAATAAAAAAATGACTTGATTAGCTGTTTCTAATGGTGTACAAATATTCTGCAGCCAATTTAGATGTAATTTCGTCCTCTCCGACTCACCCATGTAAAGTCTATGTGTGGAAAGCACTGCGTGATAAATAGAATTATTGAATATTGGCATATGTCTAATCCAGATTAGAAATAAAAACAATTGACCATTTTAATGGTGATGTACCCAAGCAACATTGCTATAAAATCTTAAGGTGTACCATCATCTTAAATTGATCAAATTGTCTGTTCTTCATTTGTTAAATCAATGCCAGACTAATTTTGACTTTTGCTCTTTGGTTGATTTGACTTGCTTCTATTGCCCTCATTAATAAGTCACTGTGGTTAAAAATGTATTTTAAAATGTAGTCATATAATGTAAAAGTCATATCAAATTAAACAAAAAAAAATCCACTTACAGACAGTATTGGGATTTTGAACAACTCTGTTCGGCAGCGAAACTTTAATGAAATTTCTCGCGCAGAGTCTCTGCCCTCAGTATTGCAGGGACGACGTTTGTGTTTGCTGTTAGATGAAACGATGATGATGTCATCATCATCATCATAGTCATTGACAGGCGAAGGAGAGTTTCTGTATTCGACGACGGGGTCTTGAGGCTCAGGAGACATACACACAAGAGAGCCGATCGCATCCAGTTTCCGGTTGATTTCTCTAAAACAGAAATGGGAAGTAAAATAACCATGTCAAATCAGATTGCTCATTTCTGGCCTAACTCGCTGTTCACTGCATGCTATTATTAGTCTTCGCTAAAGCAATAGAACATTAAAGACTGAATGAAGAAATCTAATTTAATTACTCACCGCATTTTTTGGTTGGCCCGCCTGCTCCGTTTCACTGGCGGACTACATGGTGGAGGAGGTGGAGAAGGGGAACGAAGGATTTCCCTGAAGTTGAATTAGACAATGATTTAGCTTACTAATCATCAGATAGATATTTTCACACTTAAAAGGACAGTTCACCCAAAAATGAAAGTTCTGTCATGATTTATTCATCCTTGACTTGTTTAAGTTTCTTTTTTCTAATGAACACAAGAGAAGATGTACAGAAGAATGTAGGAAAAAACAGCCATCGACTTCCATAGTATTTTTCGTTCCTACTATAGATGTCAATGGCCAACATTCTTCAGAATAGCGCAGCAAAATATATAATTTTAGCATTAGTCTCGCAATGTGCAGATTTTTTCATCTCTACTTTAATTAATTTTTTTAGTGTGTATATACAAATATGTTTTGTAAAATTGTTTACATTTTATGCAGATGCATTCCAGGAAAAAAATCATCCCAGTAAATATAATTATGAAAAAATTGCCATATAGAGTCATTTTGTGAAATTATATTCATATCGTGATATGTATTGCAGAAAAACAAAATATGGCAATGTCAGTTTTTTTCAATATCGTGCAGCCCTACTTCAGAATATCTTGATTTGTGTTCAACAGAAAAAATAAGCTCATAACAGTCTAGAATGCGAGTAAATCAGGAGGTTTCTAAGAAAATTTTTTTTTTACATTGCATGCGAGTCTCCAAAGCTAACAGGTCTTAACCATGGTGCAAAATAAGAGTTGTGTAACCAGATTTTATTAAAATTTACACATCTTCATTTGCTAATGTACGGGTTGACACAGATGTCATAAGCTATTGTAGAGCAAATTTCCCATGAGCATGCATTTTAATTGGGTTCCACCCATTTTGTTCTGGTGTTCAAGTAGAAATCAAAACTGAGACAAAATTTTCTTTACGCGGCTGGATCCCTTGCATTATTAAAGACCTTTAAAATGTGGATTTAGGACATTTTAAAATGAAAGAAGGACTTGGTTTTAGACTATGAAATCTGCAGACATCCTGTAAATGGTGAGGAATTTTCATTTTTGTGAAAATTATCACTTTAAAAGTGTTAATCTATCGCCATTTTAAATCCTGATTAAACTGTGTTATGCTGGGTTATCTTATTTCACACTGCTCATATAAACAAAATTATCCTCTCCTGCTTTCACTTCTCATACTGACGGAGGGAGCGATTCGTTTGTGAATGAATCTCCTGAACGACTCTTTCACTAACGTTAGCCGACAATAATACAAGTTTCTGGCAGAGCAGCATCTAGTTGTCATATTTCTTTTGAATTGTTTGCTGATTTTATTCAACAAAACTAGTATAAGCCGAGTGTTTAGTGCGTGTTGGTGCTGCTTTGCCTTATGGTGAATGCAGTAAGTGACTGTTAACATCAATAACGTTACCCGATTAGCACAAAAGTTCAGAACATACAAAAAAGCTATGTTTTAGGACATGATTAGATCAAATTTAACATGGAGGGTGAATAGTAAATTTCTGTACACACAAACACAAGCTTTTTGTCAGGAATGCCAGTACGTTCACTGATCCATCAATGTAGAAAAGTGATGTAAAATTATAATTTTCGTAATTTGAAAAAAAAAATTACACACTAACATCCAGGAAAACTCCCGATCATAGATATATGTGTATATCTCTGGCTTTGGATGGCCACAGTTCTCCACTGTAAAAAAACTTAATATTACCTATGAAATGTTCTGCCTTTGTGCTTTGATTTCTTTGTTTGCTTGTCTCTACACCCGTAGACAGCGCTAAAGTCCCGCATCTTCACGTAATAACACTGTCTTGACTAGTGCGGTTGAATGACATTTGTCCTGGGAGCACTGTAGCAATGTGGCGGCGCTATTGACGCAGCTCAGGGTCCCTATGCGAAATCTAGTGTATATATCTATGGACCGTATCTAGCAAGTTTTGGACTACTTTGGAAGGAGGAAATTGTGTTCTGGCGACGCAGTGGGTATTGATTTTGTCATTTTGTAATGACCATTTAATGCTTTTTATATGCAAAAGTGAACTTAAATCAGTATATGTGCTTACTGAGGTTCAGTCTGTTCTGGCTCCTCCTCTGAGCTACTTAGATCAATACTGATTGGCGGTTTCTCTTTACGGGGTGGGGAAGGAGACCACAGAGGACCACCCTTTTCCTCTTCTGCAATGAATAAAGAGAACAAATGCACAAGTGTTACATATAGGCTAAAAGGCTTAATATTGTTCTAAAGTTTGCAGTCAAAAGATTGTTTAACTCTTTATAGGCCATTTATTTAAAACCTCATTGGAAGTCTTGAACTTATGAGTTTTTAATTATACTGCAGTGAATGTCAACGATGTTAATAAAGGTAACTTAATATAGGTACCCAATAAAGGATTGTTTTCAAAATGCTTTATAGTCACTAAAACAACATACTATGTTTGTCTTAAACTTTTGTCTTTTAATATATTTAAACATATATATGGTTCATTTGAGTGCAAAGCTGTATTGTCAGTAGCCATTAATCCAGTCTGCTCCAGTGTCACACACAAAATACTAAGCACTATTCAAGAAACAGCACAGTTGCTATACAGTACATATTAATATACACTTCTCCGGACACTTTATTAAGTACACCTGTCTAACAGCTCGTTATCGCAAATTTCTAATCAACCAATCACAGCGCAGCAATTGATGCATTTAGGCATTTAGACATGGTCAAGAGGATTTGTTGCAGTTCAAACTGAGCATCAAAATGGGGAAGAAAGGTGATTTAGGCAACTTTGAACATGGCATGGTTTTTGGTGCCAGAGTATTTCAGAAACTGCTGATCTACTGGGATTTTTACCCAAAACCATCTCTAGGGTTTAGAGAATGGTCCAAAAAAAAAGGGAAAATATCCAGTGAACGGCAGTTCTGTGGGCATAAATGCCTTGTTGATGCTAGTGTGTAGAGGAGAATGGCCAAACTGGTGCGAGCTGATGGAGAGGCAACAGTAACTCAAATAACCACAATGACAATAGCCGCATTTCCACTATCGGGCCAGTGCGAGTCAGGGCTTTTATCGGGCCAATCGCCCGGGAGGTTGAGCAGTGAGGCCGAAATAATGTCGTGTTTCCACTGTCAGGCTAGTAGCTTGCAGCGCGTCACGCAAACCCCGCCCCCAGAACATCCCCCGAAAAGGACGTCACTCAATCCGCCCACTTCCGCAGGAATCAGGCAGATAAAGCACACCACATCATCATGAAACGATTAAAATTAGGACAACCAAAACAAACAAATGACACGTTACTGTACAGCAGTACAATGTATGTCTATACGCACATGCCTGTGTGTTCTCAATTATCATATTTATTTACTCGCCAACCGACTGTTGGCATCGAAATCCAGTGGTCTTGCCACTAACGGAGGAACCCAGCGCAGGGAGCGCACACATCCATAATATAAAACCACATATATAAAATTCTCCTTAAATAAGTCGATATAAAATGTATTTTGTGACATCCTGAGTTAGACAGACGCTGTCCAACATTCATCCCAAATGCTCCGGAGAGAACTGAAACTTAAACTTTTCCCTATAGGCTTCATGACACTTAATAGGTGATTCCCTTTATTTAAAGACGTTGCTTTTTTGTATCTTAAGTAAAGGAAAGTGTTCAGTGTTTCAGCACATAAGAGCAGCACTTAATAAAATAGCCTATAGCCTATATTTTGTTGCGCTCAGCAGCTATGCACTAATAAAGCTCTTTATGTATTTAAAATCTTCTTTTTTAATTTTACCATGTCATATAAAAACATATACACTTGTTTAAGGACAAACACATTTTGAACTTGCAGTTTTCCCCGATGCGTCAAAAAAGTGCTGCACAGCTGGAAGACAGAAAAAAAGGTTGCCTAGTTTCTGCTTTTAACTCACCTGAAAATGCTCTGTTTGCATGATTTGATTAATATCATCGTATCCAAATACTTTATAAATAATATTTAAAAGATTCTCCGGTGTTTATTGTTTTTAGAAAATATCTTTTAGAAATTTTTTTTTTCAGTGAGGCTTTTAAAAAATAAAAGTTTAAGATGGCTTTTTAATATTAAGTTTAATATGGCAGTTTAATAAAGTACCTAAATGTTATAGCTTTTGTTAGTTTTATATTGGTTTATTTATTTAATGTGATTTTATTATATCCGATATTTGTAATTATTTAAATTATTTCAATAAAGCTTAGGCTATTTTATCTAGATATGACTATTGTTTTAAGCCTACAAAAGTGGACACGAAATTTGTAAAGTTTAATGTCTTTCTGTTGTATTCGTATTGTGTATTATCTCCAAAATAAATGAAAACAATAAAAAATAAAAGAAAAAAGCCGTGCGGCATCAAAAGAGCAGTGAAGGGAGCGCTCTTTTCCTCGGTCTCACACACACACATACAGGCATCTAAACGTGCACAAACACACCTTTTAAACTTTGACAAAAACTCTCGAAAACCTTTACTGTCTGCTGTGCCTTTAATATGGTGTAAAGATTATTATGCGTTATTGAAACAGAAGGATGCAGCAAAGTCACTTATAAATTAAAACTACTTTATTATTTTATGTAACAGCCTTACATTTAAAAGAGAAACATAAGGGTGATCATACAAAAAGACCCCAGCCTATAATTTGTTCCAGATGTTTTCTTTTCCTTATTTATTTGTTTGTTTATGTGTTTGGCGCATGTACTCATGTGCGATCTGAAAACTGCCCGCCTCTCCTTTCACTCCGCCCCGGCTGGCCCTCTTTGGCCCAAGGTATTCGGCGGGCCGAAAAAGGCCAGCCGGTGGCCCCAAGAAAGCCCCGATTTGGCCCGATTAGGCCCCGGAAGTGACAGTGGAAACGCGACTGGCCTTGGCTCGCTCGCTTTTAGGAGCTCATTGTACTCAAATGGCCTCCACAGTCACCAGTCCTCAATCCAATTGAGCACCTCTGGTATGTGGGGGAACAGGAGATTTGCATCATGGATGTGCAGCCAACAAATCTGCAGCAACTGCATGATGCTATGATGTCAATATGGAACAAAATCTCTAAGGAATATTTCCAGTACTTTCTTAAATTTATGTCGCAAAGGATTAAGGCAGTTCTGAAGGCAAAAGTGGGTCGTACCTAGTACTAGTAAGGTGTACCTAATAAAGTGGCCGGTGAGTCTATTTAATATGATACTTTTTTCTAGATGTTTTGATGAACGTAATTTACTTAAAACAAATTAACAACTTTAAGTTTAATCAAAGGTGAACCAATTAATGCCATTTATAATCTTAATGCACCCTAGCTGAATAAAATGTCTTCTTAAAAAAAGTTAATACTAACTGACCCCAATTTTTTACCTTTACTGTATAACATAAACAAACAATGACACCATTAATAGTGGTGTTTAAAAGTTTTGATACCTGTAAGATTGGTTTGTTTAAATAATTCTGGCTTCAGATTCAAGGATCTGTTCACCTAAAACACAATAAATAAGATGACATTTGAATAATTTGTTAAGCTCTCAAAGACTTTACCTTAAACAGCCAAGAAATTCCCACCTTGTTGGAGTAAACAGGTACTGTTTGGATGGATGAGGCGTCGATGATGCGGCGGCGTTTGGGAGGTTGTTTTGGAGGGTCTGACACTGGGAGATCACTGTCCGATATCTAAAATAAGCACAAATATGTACTCTCATGGTCTCGTTTAGGGTTTGAATGGATGTTTAACAGCAAAACAAATCATGCTAACAGTTAACGCTAGCTGTACATACGTAACGTTAGCAGAATAACAAAATTGTTTTTGCACAAACTTGTTACAGTAAAATTGTTAAACTGTTCGGTAAAAAGCATAAAACTATTTGAAAGACATAATGATGAACTACTTATAATAACTTAACTTCTAGTTATTTCATAACTTGACGTTAAAATAGATTTCTGAAAGTAACTTAACGTTAACGTTAGGTTTTGAATACAACGTAAGTTAACTTACACCTGAACATCCGTATCCAAATCTGACTTTACAAAAAACTAATAACGTCGATTATGAGCTAAATAATGTAGCAGATAGAAGTTTAATTTGACTAAAATCTATAATATTTTACTTTTTCTGTATTACTGTTCATTAATCGACTGATTAAATTAACGTTAGCTAACGTTGCCGTGCTATCGCACAATAGTTACACAGACCTCAACATTTAGGGTTGTGTTCTGAAATTAACTATTTAAACTACGTTTCAGATTAAAACACAGAGTACGAACAGCAATAAATAAAAACCAAAACTGAATAACTGTTTTAACCGAGAACTCACCGTTTCAGCCATAGTCCTTTTGTGCGGGCTCATTCCCGTGCGCGCTCTCGACGTGACGTCACAGAACAAATTTGGACTTAAAAGTCTCCCGACTTTCATGATAAAAATATAATAATAAACCCATTCATCTAATTCTTCAGCAAAGAAATCGTATTGTCCATTTCATCGGACTGCATTAAACAATAATATAGACTGGAGAAAAGCTTTGTTGTTGCCTCATAAATACTTTCTTCCTAATAGAACGCAAGAAAGCCACTTTAAAATATTGCAGAAAATATATCCGACTAACTCATTTGTTTCCAAATATGTTGATATTCCGAGTAATTGTACATTTTGTGGTAAGGATGATGAAACTTTAATACATTTATTTTGTATGTGTGACTTTGTTCAGAAATTTTGGTTCGACCTGTATCATTATTTAAACACTCCTACCTTTTCACAATCTTTTAGATTAAAATACACTGAAAAAAAATTCAAAGATGATTCCTTGGATTTACTCAATTTTTTTATGTTAAGTGGTTGTAAACAATTTATTTGGGCTGAATTTAAACAAACAAATTAAGTTGAACATTATTAAACTTAATTTGTTTGTTTAAATTCAACATAAATAAATTGTTTGCAACAGTTCTGCATGCAACACTATTTTCAGAGTAAATGATTTGTTATTACTCAGATTCTGCACATAAATCTAAAGTATTTATCTTCAACTTTTTTATTTTGGTTGGAAAATTCATACATGAACAAAAATGCATTACTTATTTGAGCAGATTGAGTAGAGGAAACTGTCTCACCAATAAAGTTAAAGTGACAAATAAACTAATTCATTTGATTTATCCAGTGAAACAAGTTGTTACGTTTTTTTTAGCGACATGGAATCTGCATGCACTTTTTGTGAATTAGAGGAGGAATTGATAAAACACCTATTTTTTTTAATGCACGAATACCCAAATGTTTTGGTTTGATGTTGATTATCTTATATTTAAACTTACAAATAAAAAAATTAAGTAGTTTTGTAAAGATTTGTTTGACACAATAATAATAAAATTTTGGAGCAATTTTTAAAAATTAATTTAATGATTATATATGGGAAGAACCATGTACACAAACAGAAATGGTTTAATGATAAACTAACATGTATTTGTTTAAAATTGATCTTGAGCATTATATCGAAACCCTAAAAGACATTAAAGATAAATAAAACTATAAGGTTGTATGAAATTTTGTAATCATTTTCTGTGCAAATTTCTGTGTTGTTGTGGTTTTGTTCTCGGTGATCTTTTATATATAGCCTACTGGGTTGTGCAAAATATTTTCTAAAACATCTAGCAGGAATTTGTGTATAACTCGTTAGTTGATTATGAAGACAAAAAAAATAGTTAAAATAAAAATAAAATTACAAAAATCCAAATATTAAAAGAGCAGCATTTTGCTAAATACTATAGTCCTTTATATCCTGATGTGTTGTTTCATATATTCGTTTTTTATTTCACTTGCTGCATTCGTTATTTAATGTTTAAATACTAAAACAAATAACAGCCATCGCTTGAAAGGTTATATTTTACTATCAAAATGTAGTATATTTTATATCATTATTAACTTTTGATATAAAACTGCTGTGCAGTTTAATAATTGTTAAAAATTAAATAATTTAAGTGCTATATTGTTCATTAGTGAAAGTGCCCGCTCTCTTTTGATAAGGCCAGTCCAAAAATATATTTCTTCCACTAATACAAATGCACTATTATTGTTGCATTGTCACTGTTTTAATTTTCTGTTGTGTACGAAGATTTTAAATATATTATTTATTTCCCCTCCAATAATTTTCAGTCATCACGTTACATTTTGGTCATTTTCCCTCCAAATAAAAGTTGCCCAGAGCTGCGCAACATGCAAACTTTAGATAAATACCGTTGCTGTTACATGTAGCTATATTTAACACCCTTATAGGAGAGAGTGGCATTACAGTGTTTAGTCATGCATTTGCTTTCGCTTTTACACATAAACATAAAAAAACTTTCGACTTTTAATTAAATTTAATTAAACAAAGGAAGCCAATTACATTGCGTTACCATGGCAATGCGTTTTGTGTAACGTTCCAAAGAGCTTTGATGCACCACGACAGTGGAAAATGAAACCGTATCTGTGCTGTTTGGCCCGGAACAGAACAGTTCAGCATAAAGAACGGTTCAGTACGATAATGGAAAAGTGGCTTTTGATGTAAGAAAAGATGTAAGCACTGTATTCCTCAATTTTTTTGTATGCTACTGTTCTTGTTATGCAATAAAAAAATTATTTAAAAAAAAAAAAAAGTCTCTCGAATTCTCTCAACCATTAAAAAAGTTTCATATTTTGTTGACGAGGGGATCATGCAAAGAAGATCTAGTAGGGCACAATTAGTTGTATAACTATTTTGTAGAATAAATAAACAAACTCAAAGTACAGTAATAGCCTTTATGCTTTAATCTAAAAGTATAGATTATTCTTAAAATAACAATAATAATGTAATTCAAGATCAAGATTGTAATTAAATATATTAAAAGTATTATACAAAATGATTTAAAAAACATCTGCCGTAAAAAGATTATACTGATTGACATTATTTGGATTATGTATGCCTGAATATCTGTCGTAGTTTTACTTAAAAACTTGTGTTTTTGAATTGTTTAGAGTCCAGACAATATATTTGTGTGCCTTTTTTCATTCAAACGAACAGGATTTATTTACTTTAGCACAACTCATTTGCATTTAGATCCACAAAAACAGAGTGAAAAAGATGCAGTACAAAATATACGGCCCAGTAATATGTACATGTTAACAAAACAAAAAAAGGAGACGAATGCACATTAAAACAGAACAAACTCTCAATTCAATCACACCAATCATGCAGGCTCTTTCTAAACACAACATCCTGCTTTCGTACATTTCGGTCACTTCTTCTTGTTCTCCTTGCAGGCCACTACATATCTCTGGGCGACGTTAAGAGGTGGAGAATAACCATCAGCATAAGATGTGTCCTCAAACAGAACCGAGTAGTCATCTTGAGGCTGGAAAAAGAGGTCAGGTGTGTCAGATGTGAATGAACTATTCTTCATCTCACACACAAACGATCTAGTGTTGACATAAAACCACAATGGTCACATAATGGTCTTCATTACATCCTATAAGACTAAATATCATGATAGATGAGATAAAGCATTCAACGCAGCACTGTTACAAACCTCAATCATGCACAATTTAGACTGACAACTGTTAAAGTCTTTTCCTACACTTAATTTAGTCTTTAACCCATTTTACACAGCAATACCAGTAAATTGCTATAAAACTAGCAGAACAACTGTAACAGTAAATAAAAGTAAAGTGCCCTCAATTTACAACAACTCATTCCAGAAAACTGCCAGATCAAATTATCCAATATTTGTAGAAAGGGCTTGTTCACACATTTACTATTAAAGTCTGTATGTGAAATAGGAACATTTTCTCTAGTTTGAGTTTAGTTTTGCTCACCCGATGCGGTGGTGTGTGGATCAGAGCTCTGTAAAAGCAGGTGGTCTGTGGATAGAGAGCCAGAACCAGCTGATCTTTACTGAACAGGGCCTCTGGGTCCGTCTCAGGATTTGCTTTCCACTGTGGGAGAGGAATTATTCTTCTTCGACTCAACGTGTGTCTCCTGAATACAACAGCAGATGAGTAAATAAGGAACATATGCACGCCATTATTTGTTTCTCTATTTAATCAAACTGCTATTTAAAATTTTAAGTACATATAACTTTTAAAATATTTTCCAAAGTATTAGCTTATGCCATCCACAGCTTGATGTATTTGATCAGACACATTAAAATATAACTTGGCAAATATATCAGAATACATTTTTAACAGCCATTACTCTAGCCTTTATCATAAGCGAAGTACAAGAGTATTCATAGTGAGTGCATTTTCAGTTATCTCACAACTTGCATGATACAGCCAAATGTACAATATACTAGCCTAGAGCGCCATCTTCTGTTAAAAACTACAGATGTATGAAATCAATATTGAAAACAGATATGCTAGGAAATATTTTTTTGAAACTAAATATATATTTTAAATACTATAAATAACTAAATTACTTTTAGTTTATAAAACATTTATAACACTGTAAATTTCCTTTATTGTGACTTTTCATACATTTTTTGTGTCCTTGCAGCATAAAAATTATATATATTTTTTTAATCTTCATTGAAAAAACAGTCTATCCGACCCTTTTAAACCTCCAAAATTGTGTATGGGTGAGAAAATAAGACAAAACTGATAAATGGAACTGTACGTACTCTTTACCCTCTTCATCAATATCATCGACCTCATACCTGGGAAAGAAATCATCACATTACCATATTGCTACCATTTCACACAAAATCAAATGAAATAAGCCAATCCCAGATAACAACTGCTAAATAAATACTTGTTAGTGGAGTGATTGTAGCTGACAACTTCAGCAAGAATCCACTGTTCGTCACCATCCACAGCCTTCACTCGAGCCGCCACTTTGTCCCCCTGCTTAGCCACATAGTCGCTGCTTGCAGGTATAGCGCCACACAGAGGTGGAGGACTGAAAGAGTAAGAAATCTTTAGTGACTTATAACAACAATTTATCCACTACACAATTAGATTTATTTATTTTTTAGGGGGGGGGGGGGGGGTATTATTATTTTTAGTTGTTTTTTTTTTTACCTTTATTTTTATAGCACAGTAGAGCAGAGACAGGAAAGGATGGAGAGAGGAAAAACATTGGCAAAGAGCCTCGAGCCGGGACTTGAATTTGGGTCACTGTAAGCACCTCAGTGCTATATGTCGAGGGACTAACCACTAAGCTATTAGCACTGACAACATTTTCTAAAATGAACCGAAGAGGCAGGTACAGAATGGTACCTTTCGCCAGGTTTGCCGATCCATAGCGGAAGTGTCATGGCTGACTGTTGTAAAAGGGTCATCAGGACTCCTCTGCGCATGGTCTTTCTGGGTGGGTCATTGTCGCTGTACACTCCTGCCATTCTCGCAGCTGCAGAAAGGGGAAAATATAACAGTGTATACAGGAATTAGAGAGTGAAATTCAATAACTTTTAGGAACATTTTAAAGACTCTTTCCATACATTAGTTTTCAACTGGTAACATTGGCCGTATTTTAATGTACTAAATATAGCAATAAATATGGCATTATAGTTTAATATAGAGTTTAATCATAATGGATTAAAAGTTTATCCCCTGCAGGCATTTCAAAGAGATTAACAGAAACATTTATGAGTTTTCTTTTCTTTTTTTAATGAGCACAAAAATAATGTAATTTAACAAGTGAAGTGAGAGTAAATAGTGAGTACATTTTAATCTTTGAGTGAGTGACTGTGTGAACATTTCAATATTTTATATAATATATAAAACATTTATTTTTTAGTAACTTCAAGAAAGATTAAATAATATAAAATGAAGACTAGGCAGTGTTGATTATTCAATAACTGTCCCTGAATAATGATTAACTGAAAACTATCATTCCCTTATTTTAACTATAATTTATTTATATATGTTTGTAATTTATCTGTTATATATTATTTGAGATTCACTCCCTTACAAAATCCCCCTAACAATCCAAATAAACCTTAAATTTTAATTACATTGCAATATATATCACAGAAATACAAAACATAGTAATGTCAGATTTTTCTAAAATCACGCAGCCCTAATTCAAGTATACAGATATTTGTTAAACTAATTTCCATGAATTTTCCAAAACTTTGTGGATTTTTCTGTTTTTCCAAAACTTTTCCAGACTTTTCCAAAACTTTTTATTAATGTTTATATATATATATATATATATATATATATATATATATATATATATATATATATATATATATATACATAAACATTAATAAAGTCACATGATCAAAATAATGCAGACAGAGACCAAATGGTGTAAGTCAGGGGTGTTCAAACTCGATCCTGGAGGGCCAGTGTCCTGCAGATTTGAACTCCAACTTGCCTCTAAACACCTGCAAAAATGTTTCTAGAAAGCATATTAAAAGCTTGATTAGCTAGCCCAGGGGTGTCTGATTGGGGTTGGAACTAAACTTTGCAGTTTGGACATGCCTGTTGTAAGTGAAGTGTCAATAGGTTTCCGCAATTGCCTGATGCAAAAATCCTACACTCACCAATCCGTCTCTCCTCCAAAAGAGATTTAATTTCAGCAATTTTGTCAAGCGCCCGTCGAAGTATACTGCGGAAGGGATTGAGATAAATCAGATCGTTTAACACTGTAAAACCTGATTTATAAAGAAAGAATACATTGATTCAGACTGAGGAAAAGAAGGTGTGCACTCTGACACAGTTGTTGTTTGTTATTTAGTTATATGGCCAAAAAAGGCATGATGAAATTCTAAAAGCTTGCATCTAAACAATGAAATCTTTCCATGCATAGCTGACTAGTTACATGAAATTCATATAATTATGAATTCATATCTTAATAATATACTTGATAGGATTGTATTTATTTTTAAAACAACACAATGCTCATTCCTCAAAGGCCTAATGCATCATATTTGATGCTTAAGTATTTTCTAAAATTAGTTTATACTTTGATTAATCACATCCAAAATTACGTACAAACTTAAAATATCTATTATGTATAAATAAATATATGTATGCAAATATTTGAGACTTTTTTTGTATTTGGATATAACATATATATATATGTGTATATATATATATATATATATATATATATATATATATATATATGTATATATATATATATATATATATATATGATACAAATGTAGATTTATGTATGTGTGTTAATCATATGTCAAATTGTCAAACAGACTTTATTTTAAATGTAATTAATTACAATTAATCTTTGCCCAGCCCTATTAATAATCAAGTAAATATGTACATAATCAAACATAATCAAGTGTTTGTTTTGCAATTTTACTAGCTCTTAAGACATCCTAGTTGCTGAAAAAAATACTTAATATACATCATTAATTTGTGTTGTTAATTGCCTTGTATACAATTTTAGGTATAACTCTGTACTTTTGAGAGACTTTGGCAAAAGTACCACAAGGTGGCGCTATATAGTCTTACATTTTCAAGGCACTTTCAGTTCAAGTGAAATGAAACAAGTCAACACTGAATAGAACAATTTCAACATCTGGTCCTCATGTACCTGTTGCTAAAATAAAATTAAAGTAAAAATGCATCACTTGCATTAATATACATGTGCATCAAGAGAAACCAAACGCAAGCAACATTCACTTTAGCTTACCTGCATTCTGCCTCAGCATCTGCTTTAGCTGTGGTGTAAAGACCTCTCAATTTAGTCCGATAATATGGAGAGGCTGAGGAAGAAGATATAGCATATTCAATGTGGGGCAAATTAAATTCACAGATATGATTACATTTGTGATTACATTTGTAGGCCTTACTTTTATTTTCTGTCTGCATCCTTTCATGTGTTTTCTGGATGTTGAGAAGGTTGTGTTCGCTTCTCGATCGCTCTTCCTGTGAGTGTTTTACAGAAATGAGGATATAAATACCATGTGAGGTTAAACTGAGCAGAAAAACTCTTTAAAAAATAAGCTTTCAAATCGTGTTTATGCAGTAATTCTACAGAAGTGTTCAGTGAAGAGCTCTTAAAGTTATCCAAAATTAAAATGTAATCACCATTTACTCACACAAGTCAGGTGGCTCTAAAATTGTATGAGTTTCTTTGTTTGTGTTCAACACAAAAGAAGATATTTTGAAAAATGCCTGAAAACAGCAGCCACCGACATCCATGGTAGAAACAAAACATACTATGGAAGTCATTGACTGCCGCTTTTTGTCTTTCTTCAAAATGTTTTCTTTGATGTTCAACAAAACTCAAACAGGTTTGAAAGAAGTGGAGGACGAGTAAATGAAGACAGAATTTAAATTTTGAGGTGAACTGTCCTGTTAGAACCATTGATTTCTTAGTGTAAAGAACATTTGAATAAGATTCTAAAGCAGGAGATTTTTAAACTGGGGTCCAGCAGGCCACAGGGGAATTCAAGGAGGTGGATGGAAATGTACAAATGTTAAAAAAATAAATGAACAATTAAAATGAAAAGAAATATTAATAAAAAATGAATTAATAAAATTAAAATAAGATTAAAATATTTTAAAAAGAAAAACTGGAATAACGGGATTCAAAGAATAATAATTATACACGAATTAAAACAAAAATGATTCAATTTAGATTCAAAGGAGTAATCTCCGATTTCATAAAAAAACAAAAACAAAAAACTGCGATTAAATGCAATAAAAAAATACAAATTAGATTACTAGGAATACATTTTTATTTTAAACAAGTAAATTAAATAAATGCATAAATGCTGTACTACAAGTTGGAGATTTTAGCCTATAGCCTATATAATGTAACTTAACAAAACTTAACAAAAATAAATGCTTACCAAATACTATTTTATTTTACTCCAGACAAAACTAATTTTAACATTGTATTTTCTAGATATTTTTTTATTAATAATACAATATTAATTACATATCAAATAGATTATGGAAGTCCTTTGCACAGGAGTGAACAGATTTAGGGACCATGCATCTAAAATATTGAAAACCTGTCATCATAAATTAAGGTAAAGTTGGTTTTATATTGGCACATTGGTTCAGTGACAAGCTCCCTATATTGTTTACCATGGTAATTTTGAATTTCAGTCGAAAATCACATGCAAGTATGACTTGAAAACAACATTAGCACTATTTATTTGATTGTGAACAATGTTATACTTAGACAGTCATTGGCTGCTAATATGCCAACTTTACCTCCAATTCATCTAAATGTTTCACAGATGTTAGAAATTATTCACTGAACCATCAATATAAACATAGCAACTCTATTTTTGGAGTAAAGTGATTGTTTTATAAAGCCATATACTACAGTGCTGGTGCAAACTCACCTGGGTTTGCTTTATGAGCTGATGCAACTCATTTAGCAACTCAGCGATTTTGGTGTCTGCTGACACTAAAGCCATTATACCTGTAAAAAAGTTATTTTGATTTAGTTATAATAAATAAGACTGGAATTAAAGCAACCCTCGAGAAGATAAACATATAGCTTTTGACTATACTTTTGTTGCTAAACATGGACGTGTATACACTCCATAAAATCTGAACAACACTTAACACATTAAACAAAAACGGAGCACTTCGATAATGCTAGTAATAACAAAGCATTTAGCTGTACGTGTTATTTGTGTAGCTGATATGCACATGCATAACAGACCTCAGATCACGCCCTCCGCGCGCACGCAGATTAGCAAGAAAAGCGCCAATCTCACCTTCCAACACACGACTGCGAGATTCTCTCCAGATTCACCTTGTGTATTAGTACACGAACTACAATCGAAAAGCATTAATTTATTAAAGAGTAACGAATTTTAAGCGTTTGTTTACGCTTTCCGATATTTTGTTAGCTTACTAGCTAGGCCTCGTACGGACACTGTGAAGGGACACATGGAGTGTTTTTTTCAAACGCCCTATTGAGAAAGAAGCTTAGGAGAGCATCAGGCTTCAGAGCAGAGATGCCCAAAGTAGGGCCTTAAATTTGGCCCACCATCCCATCTGAGAAGAGAGGGAGAATGATGAGGATGATTTATAGATTGTTATTATAATTTAATGTACCATTTTATGTGTTACAAAAAAGCTATCTGAAATTAAATGCTCAATTTAAATGGTTTAAGTTTATCGTATTTAGTTTAAAATGTACACACTGTCACCCAATGGATAGACAACAATGCAGAGGCTTTGGTGAGTGAATCAAAGCAAGGGCAGATTCTGACTAGTGCATACAGCACTGAACTACACTGTTATAAATGTGATTTGTTTTTATTGCAATATGTTAAAGTTATACTGCATTAGTTAATTCGATTCAAAGTAATGTTTTTTATTTGTAAATATTCTGGAAGTAATTAGAAAATTACACATGGCAACTTTATAGTTGGGTATATTTGTTTTCGACCCATGGCTATCAATGATATTTGGATTTTGGCCCTTTACACGAAAAGGTTTGTGCACCCCTGCTTTAGATGGATAAATTACATCTAGTGGATACACATGTTAATAAATGATGCAAACGTTTATAAAATTTATAACTCTAAATGTTACCTTAAAAATAGACAGTGTTATAACATTAGGGCACGAAACATAATCAGACGATTATGAACCATAAAAATACAGGGTCATTATGAGTTATCTTCATTATTATCATCTACATCAGCACATTAACCCACATGCTGGGTTACCCGGTGCAGAACTTTTAGTGGTTATTATACATTGATGTCAGATTATTTTATTATAGCAATTGTGCATCTGGGGCGACACAGTGATTCAGTGGTTAGCACTTGCTTCAAGTCCTGACTGGGTCAGTTGGCATTTCTGTGAGGAGTTTGCATGTTCTCCCCGTGTTGGCGTCGTTTTCCACCGGATGCTCCAGTTTCCCCCACAGTACAAAGACATGCGCTAAAGCTTAATTAAATAAACTAAATTGGCCGTTGTCAGGCATGGGCAGATGTAACCCGGATAACCCAGGTTACTAGTGGGTAGTACACAGCAATAGAAAAAATAGAAATACCCTTAGAAATATGAAAAAACATTGGCAGAATACTCGATTAAATAATATATACTACATTTATTTATTTACAATATATAAATAATTTATAATACAGCACTCGAGGGAGTAGTGCTTTAGAATGACATCGTCGTGCTTTACACTGTAGCAGCAGATCAGCTTTACAAACAATAACAAATCTCTCTTGTCTGTTAGCTTGTGTTTACCGTTGCTATGGTGATTCAGTGTTCGCAAGGGAATGCAGAGATGTAAGTTGTTATATTAATAACAGTAGAAAACTATTAGATTTCTATCTTTTAATGTTTTAAATGCGTATTGACTGTGAAAAATGACCATTAATATGATGCTGAAATGATTTCTATCATATATTTTTAATGAAGGATTGAGAGAAAAAACAAGATTTGTATCTGAGAGTGAAATCTGCACACGAGTGCCACCTGGAGTTTTCCTGATTTTCGCTTTCATTTTGATTACCTTGGTGAGTTCGTGTTTTTTTTAATTGTTTTTATTTTAACATGATTTAAAGTAGTGTCAAAATGTGGTATTTGAGGAACGTTATGATCAGTGTGTGTATATGTAAATGTGCATATGAAGCGTGTATATATGAAATTTATTGTTAAAGACATTCTATTAATTGATGTTTGCCTTGTGTTTTGCAAGGCTGGGTTTTTTTGTGTGTGAGTCGAAGCAACTGTGACGAGTCCCTGGTTTACACTGGACTCGAAACTTCTGTATGGCGAACCACCCACGGAACCGATTCACCTACTAGACTGTGTGTTTGAGCCATTGGACTGGTAGGAGAGTTCTTTTGTTTTTGTTTGAAGAAACGAGACTTGGACATCGCGATCCTCCTGTCTTCTTCTTTCTTTTCCTTGAATTCTCAACGGAAAAACACGAGCTGTGGAGCTGAACTGAGAGAATCAGCAGTTCTCTTGAACGGAATCTTTTATTATTGAACTGTGTACGGAAAAAAGCAAAACAAATCTTTTGAACAGCGAAACGATTGATTTGAACAGTGAAACGATTCTTTTACACAGTGCGACGATCTTTTGAACCGTGGGGCGATTCTTTTGAACAGTGGAGCGATTCTTTTGAACAGTAGAGCAATTCTTTTGAACGGTAAACAGTAAACGATTCACTTGAACAGTGTAATGATTTATAGTTGAAAGTGTGAATATTGTATTCCACCCTGTATTTTGAGTTGAATTGAGTCATTTATTTTTGATTCGTTTCTTTATTTTCCTTTTTTGATTACAGTTGAGTCTGCCAAGTATTTTTATTACAAGTTATTGCTTTTTTTTTTACGTTGTTTTATACAAAAAGTAACAGTGTTGTAGTTTTTCCAAGATATTTATTCATTTTCATTTTGTTTCAAGTGTTGGAAACTTCCAGATTGTCTTGATCACAACTTTGTTTAAACTGTATATTGACTTCAAGTTAATCTGTGTAAAGAAAAAAAGAGAATATCATTTACTTTTCATTATTATAATTTATAATTGAACCTATTTATACATAAATACTTAGACTTATTGAACAGAAATTCACAAACACATAACATATTTCTAATTATATAAACTATATTGAAGAAAAAAATGACTGTGTTTGATTATTCACTCATCTGCTGTGCTGCTTTTCTCTCTCCAGTAGCCGTTCTTTCTCTTCTGACCAATTGGCCCACATTGAAAAATATGCTATCGCGACAAATCAAATCATACTTGCTACACAGTATTTATGATACATGTATTACAAATACAAAATTTAAAAACACTGTATTTTGTAATTTTGTATTTGACCGGGTTTATGAAATTGACTTAATATTTTGCATCAAACATACTTTAGTGTCTTGTATTTTTATAGCTTCAAAATACTGTAAAATACTTTGCAAGAACTAAACCGAGAATCTTCTAGTTAAAGAGGAAGTAAAAAAATCTTGGAAGGAAGGAGTATACTGTACAAATAATGGATGAATTGCTAATGTAGATCAAAAAAAATAAGACATTCCAAGTCCTACATTGACCATACCTCCAATTCATTGATTTCAAATAGGCTACCAGTAGCTGATCTGCCGGTGCACTGTATGAAGATGAAATATGTATGCCTAAAGATGTCAAAATGTCACAATATATGAAGCACAAATATTTAATGATAATCCAGTCTCCTGTTACACGGCAGCAGTGGGATATATATGTGAGTTTACTTGTAAAAACAGATATTTATGTCGCAGAGTTTTTGGAAGTTTCAGAAATCAGGTATAGAAGAGTATAGAAGAGTTTAATTGCAAATTCTGTTTACAAAAAATTAAAATGAACTCATCATAAAGGCCTGTCAACCTTGGGATGATGGGAATTTTACTGGTCACTCAATGGGTGATACTTAATCAGCATACAGTACTATGTTCTGCAGTAAATGATTTAAACCAAAGGATATCATCTTCAAGACAGGACTTTCTGAATGAAATTTGTCCAAAATTTATACTAATCTCAAAAAAACCTACCTTGTGTAACAAGTTCAACTCTCAAACCATTATGCCACAACCCCCTATAGGTGAAACAGTGGCAGAGAAACATGTGTTATCAAACATTGCTTGCTTCACTAAGTCAGTTTAATGATGAAGGGATTGATCCAATAGGTCTGTTAATGGATGGTTTGCGAAGAAATCTCATGCTACCTTTTTTTGAAGTATTTTGTTGAATTTATACAGTATTTTATTTTGATGCATTTATGGCCGCTGTATTTTGTAGTTCATTTTGATGCACCTAAAATTGATGTATTTGGCATTTCATTTATGAAGCAGTTACTGGTACGTTGGTTTTGTTGAAGATTACATTTTTGTATTTGTGAATTTGGTGTTATTTATATTTTAATATTTAAATCAACCTTGTGAGCAATATAAGAAAGTGAGGAGAGTCTATGTTTAAATGCATAAGAGGCAATACAGGGGAAAACAAATAGTGAAACATAAAAAAGGAACAAAACAAAAAATCATCTAATAATCTCTTCTTATACTTGACCTGAACTTTACTGTGTCCAAAGGCTGTGATAGATGAGATAATATGAAGTTAATTTTCAACAGAGACAAGCATGGTGAGAAACAAAACAAAAACCGACAGCGATAAGTGGGGGTTTATCTAGAAATCCTAATCTGAGCACGAAGGCTGAAGAGAAGTAGGGAGATTTTGTTATGTTTTCATAGCTGAAAGCATAGAGCTGGCTGAGCCAATAACTCAGTAAATATTTACAGTACAGAACGGCACACTCTCACATGATATCAGTTTGAAAGCCAAAGTAAACAGTGCATGCATGGCAAAAGTGGCAAAGCGAAAGAGGAAGATTTGTACTAAAATAGAGAAAAAATAACTGAGACTTGTTTTGTGAAAGATTAAGAACTAGAGCGCTGTATATGGTTAGAGATCTAGAGGAAGAGAGCTACTGCGGTCTGTGCTACTTCAGTACTGTTTATGGCTTTGGAAGACAAAATAAATGGTGTAATCTTTCGCCAGCTATAGTATCTTCCCTCATTTTTTTCTCACGTAGCTCATGCACTCCTATAACCAGATGTTGTGGAATATTTGAGCGCAGGAGAAAAACTGAATCGGTTGCACTCTTGCTCTGTCATTACAACAGCACCAAACCACAGTAGACTTTTACTTTAAACTGCATTGCCAAAAATATTCACAGCAGCCAGTCATCACACAGGCCTCTGCCAAATTCCATTGCAATGAGAGCTTCATGGCCATATGTTTTCGTACAATGGAGCACAAAAAGAGAACAGGTTGGTAAAAGTGTTAAAAAAAAAAAACTATCTACATACTATAAAATGATGGCATTCAGGTAACCCGGCACTGAATTAAGAAATAAGGGTTCATAAACTTTTGCACTGGAGCTATTTTCCTA